GACAGCCCCTGTCTGACCCCGATTCCGAAATGGCTTCTACGATGGGCGCGCAAAACACTTCATCTCCCATCTGCAGATCGTCGTCATCCAAGCTGCAGTCAGCTAGACATATGTGAACATCTGTGCCATCCTCGACATAATCCAATGTCCAGGCTACATCGCCTACGGTACTGAAGCTTTCGTCTCCCTGGGACTTGGTGCCGATCTTCGCAGAAATGAGCAGCACACTGAGGTCGATGGAGCCCCTTTCCACCTCACCAAATGCATCGTCCGTTTTAAGCTGGCAAATAGCTTCGTGTACAGTGCACACCGGCCGATATGTAGCGCCGTCTTCATACATGATGGGGTTGGTAGAAAGAGCTTCCCGTGGCCACCAGAAGCGGCACTGCGCGTCGTTCACAATGTCGAGCGAAGCCCAGGACCAGGAGGGAGCACGGGTTGTTTGAGATCTTCGACCTATTCCAAGTTTCATTGGGTACGTGCCGGCTTGGGCAGTGTTGTACCAACACAGGCAATGGGGAAGAGACGCTTTCCAGAGGCCCGCCAGGTACGTATCGCGTTTTAGTTGGTGGTATAGCTGTGCTAACCCGGAGAGAGCAGGTAGTTTGTCCTCTTCCTTTGACAGACGTCTCATTGTGTACTGTCGCAGTATGCCCGCCCACCACTCTTCAGCGTCTGCAGGATTCTGAGGTGGCATTAAACGTAGAGCTAGTTCCTCGCGCCAATGAACAGCCCCTGTATTATGTTGACATTCGCAGAGGTAGCCTTCGTTGCACTTCCAAGAGATATCGAAAGGCCCAAATTCTAGAACTCGAGAGGGAGAAGATACTCCTGGAATGTCCTCTAGATCTGTCGGTGATGTGAAGTGGGATGTCGTTCCTCTGATGCGTAGAATCGACTTGTTGCCATTGAAATCTCTGACCTTGATGCGATGACTCCCGTAACGCTTGGGTGAGAAGATGCCACTGTGCATACTTGTTGAGACGCTCCCATGGTAAAGGAAGAACTCTGATAAATGCGCGCCATGGCCGAGTTCTCGGCTGCAAAATCTATACTCGTTACTGGCTTTTCCTCGTTCGACATGCCAGGAAAGTCTTGCAAGATGCATAGCGTATCGATCCACAGGTAGTCCACGTCTAGACGCCGACAGATAACGATAGCATCTTGAAATGTCTTTGGAATGTTACTCCATTCGATTTCTTCCATATGGTTGTGGATGTTATTTGTCGTGCTTATCAATCGTGCCATACTTGCGTCGCCCCAACGGTGGCTAAGGCAGACGTATGGGCATTGGAAGTCACTGGCTTCAGCGGTCTCGATGAGTCGGACTCGGTTGCCGTGAAGATCGAGCAGCCTACGTGGGTGAAACGAGTCACGAGACTTTCCCCAGTCGTGGTGGTCCAGACACTGCCGAAGCCATTGTTGAGCATTCGCAAAGCTCCTATCGGAGTCTGTCGACGGTCCAAATCGGGTCTCTTTGGGAAATCCGATCTTTTCATGCCCATTCACCCAAACTCTGAAGTCAGACTGTTCTTCGGGGTCTACAAAGAGAGAGACTTGAATACGGCTTCCTTTGATGAACATATCCATGCTCTCCTCGGTATTCGCAGTTACGAGGCCCATACTTCCCACGACCACTTCGTCAAGGACTTGATCTCTTTCTGTCTCGTTTCGTGCTCCCTGGAACAATGAAGGAAGATGCCCATCAACAACTGCCTTGACCACGTGTATATACACGCCGCAGAGGTCGCACAAGTTTCTGGCAGAATGTCAGATATGTGCGTATGTAACTTCTCTATGCCATTTGCGTCTTTTCTCACAGGCACACAAAAGATCCGATTTGGTCACACCAGGGGGCGGCTCATTCTCTTTAACTTTGTGATGGAACATCTTCTGAGCAATGCAACTTCGATAGGTTATGGTCGCTTGAAAGGTCTCGGATAATATCAAAATCTGGTGTTGACTTTGCTACTGAGAGCGCCCCGCAGAATCATAACCCAGGTGAATCGCCGGATTCAGGCAGAAATGAAGCCGACAATCTGCCCCGTGAAAATCTGCCCAACTGCCTAGCTGGAAAGAGGGGTTGAAAATGAAACCCAGCGCGGCTATCGCGCCCAACTACCTATCTCATTATGTCCACAGACAAATCATCATGAAGATTGATTGGCTCGGACCAGCATCCTTGCAAGGATATGATGAAGAGACTAAGCCCATATCTGTGAGTTCTGTGGAAGTGCTCAAACCCCCGGTATCCTAGGTTGCGCTTCTGTCGTTACTAGGTATATTGAGCCGAAAAACTTCGATATATTGGTTGTAAATTTCAAGTTCAATGTCAGCAATAATAATGTTGTAATCTTGAGTTAGGGTTTACGAGTATTCAGTCGGAGCTCAACTAGCTGTGTCGTTATCGGCTTCACCTGATGTTGGAGAAGGGGATATAGCCGATATAACCGACTACGCACATCCTTCGGCTATTTGCCCCCGTTTTACCTAGCCAGCCACAACATCGCTAGCTCGTCTTTGTCTGGATGACGTACCTGATTACTACCGGCCATACCTTCCATACCAGTCAATTGTTGTCAAATATCGTCTCGATCGGTTCAAAATTGACTTAATGACTTTTCGAAACTGAGATCAAAAAACCATCTGCAGCCTCATTGCACCATTACAACATGGCATCTCGAAACCTGATGGTAACATTTTGGCGGCGCAATACAAATGTAGGCACTCTGCCTTCACACATGACAACACAGATCGCTGACATGTCTCCTAGCTGGTATCGAAGCAACAGCTCCGGCGGCTCACTTTACATGAATACCAATCTCAGGACCTTTTGAAGGAGGTGAGGCTTTGGTTAAAGGTAGTGTCAGATAGCTGAAAATTAGGAAGCTAATATTCTATTGTCAGTTCGGCATCCCAGTACCCCGAGGTCACCTCGCAAGAACGCCGGCTGAAGCTGCAGTAATTGCCAAAGAGCTTGGTAATTGGTCCTCTGCTATACTTTCTGCTAAATACTGACACAACTAGGAGGAGCCTGTGCTCTCAAATCACAAACATTGAGGGGTGACATCGACGATGGCACGTTTGACAACGGCTCAGGGGCCGGCATCCAAGTGGTCAACGACGCAGAAAACGCCGAAAAAGTTGCCAATCGCATGCTCGGTCACTGTTTGAAGACGGCTAAATCCTTAGGAAATGAAACTTTGATCAACAAACTTCATGTCACGGAAACCGTGAATTCCGAGAAGAAATGGTACTTGGCTATTACGTTCGATCGCGAGAACTACTGTCCGACGATCATCGCGTCCAAATTTGGCGGAGTCGCCATCGAAAAAATAGCAGCACAACATCCGGACGAGCTCCATACGTTCCAATTTGAGTTCACGGAGGGCATCACATCCGGACTCGCTGACAAAGTCTCAAGATGTTTGGGAGCTTCAGCGAAGGAGACGGAGGATCTGAAAGACATTCTCGGCAGGCTTTACAAACTTTTCACAACCAAAGACGCCACTTTACTAGAGATCAAGACTCTAGCCAGCTCACCTGAAGGAGGGCTGATTTGCACGGACGCCAAGTTCTCCTTTGATGATGCCACCACCAAGCGACAAAATTCTCTTTTCGCAGAGCGAGACACGGATCACGAAATCCCAGAAGAAGTCGAGGCTGAGAAGTATGGGCTGGTCTATGTTCGCATGGACGGTGATATTGGCAACGTCGTCAATGGTGCCGGTCTCGCAATGGCGACCAATGATGCCATTGCGCTGCACGGAGGCGCCAGTGCCAACTTTCTTGATGCGGGCGGGCAAGCGACGAAGGAGACCATGGTCAAGGCATTCGAGATTATTTTGAGGGACCAGAGGGTGAAGACGATACTTGTGAACATCTATGGCGGTAAGCTTGCTGTGCAAAGAATGGAGGAGGCTTGGTAGATGGTTCTCTAGCTAACAATCTCTTCGCAGGCATTACCAGAGGCGATATGATCGCAGAATCCATTCTTGGCGCAGCAAAAGAGCTGGGTCCGCTCAAGATTCCTATGGTAGTCCGGCTTCAAGGTACCAACTCTGAGCTGGGATTGAAAACTGTAAGATATTTCTATATCAATCCGGTGCATTCTTCAATCATGTTGAGTTTGCTGACTGGAACTCACAGCTGGAGGAAGCGAATCTTGGATTGCACACGGAGGCGGATTTTGGGAAAGCAGCGCAAAAAGCAGTAGAGCTGGCGCGAGAAGCAAGATCGGCGTCTTTGAATTCGTAGTTGACTTTGAATATCTGTAGCAGCTTACGATGGCTGCCACCAACCAATAGAATCTCGACATTTCGCCAAAATATGTTGCTCAGGCAGCGGCCCCTTGCATCTTGAGACGTCCCAAGCTCACATCACTTCAATGTTGGTCTGTGGCCCCCGGGGGCCATCTTCAACAGACATGTGCAATGCAAAAGGGGATTGATATTACATGTCATTTCTTTGTTGGTTGCTTCGCCGCGTTGGAATTTGGCATCTAAGGTAGAAAGACATGTCAGATCCGGCGTGCCGCCTTTTTTCTAGGCAACTAACAAGAATTGAGAGAGTTATTTGAAGGATACGATTTCCCTCTTGACATCTCGAAACATCGATCTATCATAATACAATCCAATCACACCTTCGTCATCTCTACGCCAAGATATGATGGCTGGCTCAACTGCAGCCCTGCCCGACCTAGATCCTGTCGCGCTCGTCGATTTTCACGAGACTCTCAAGAAGTCAAAGCGCATCGTTGCCGTCATCGGCGCAGGCCTTTCGGTATCTTCAGGCCTAGCCACCTTTAGAGGGGCCAACGGACTGTGGAGGAATCAGGACATAACGCAGGTCGCCTCGCCCGCAGGCTTCCGTCACGACCCGGGACTCGTCTGGCAATTCTACACGTATCGCCGGCACGACGCCCTTCGTGCCAAGCCGAATCCTGCTCACTATGCCCTGGCCGAGCTCGCGCGGAAAGTACCTGGTTTCGTCGCGCTGACGCAGAATGTCGATAACCTGAGCTCTCGGGCTGGTCATCCACCCAGCCAGCTGAAGGAGCTCCACGGCAACCTTTTCGCGTTGTCTTGCGTCGATATCATCGGGTGCGGGTACACCGAGCACGACAACTTTGAGGAATCTTTATCACCGGCACTCGATCCCTCAAAAAACGAGGAGAAGACCATCGGCAGCATCGACCCGGACAACAAGCCTCGTGCTAGCCCAGTTCTGTTGGCCGGTATCGCACGAAAACACGCGCAGATTCTCGGGGACAAGTATGAGGGAAACAAACCGACCACGCGGGATCTGACCGCTCTGAAAGGCCCGGACGAACCGGCGCCCTCGAATCCCATTGCCGGTGTTCGGCTGTCATCGGGATTGGAGGAAAAGGACCTGCCGCAATGCCCCAGGTGCAAGAAGAGCATACTCCGCCCTGCCGTCGTCTGGTTTGGCGAGCCACTGCCGGTTGAGGTTGTGGAGGAGGCTCAGGCGCTTTTCGATGATCCCGAGCCCATCGACCTCTTTCTAACGATTGGGACTACTAGCAAGGTCTGGCCGGCTGCTGGGTATGCCGAGATGGCTCGCAAAAAGGGTGCGAGAGTTGCGGTTATCAACACGCGAGCTGAGGACGCTAGACATATTCGGCCGGTAAAGGACTGGGTATTTGTAGGGGATGCGGCAGTTGTTCTGCCAGAGTTGCTGAAGCCGATTATTGGTGAATCATACGATCGGGTCGAGAAGAAGTAGTAAAATGGGCACATCGTCGCAGATCATCGCGGGCCTGGGAAAGAACTAGACTGATACAACAATTTACTCCTTGCCTTTACTTCCCGGTGAGACTTCTCGATGAAAAGCATTGGATCTAGTAGACATGTAGCGATTGGCACTGTCCCCATACTAGCATCAGACATCGGTAGCGTCATGTCTGTGTAGGTTGATTGTAATAACGCATCGTTGAGATCAAGCCGGCCTGCGCCATTCACTAAGGTATCTCACCATACTGGTGTTACGTTGAGATTATGTCCATAGAGCATTCATGCCAGTGCATGTAACTTAGTACGCGGCCGAAATATCTGAGGGGCCTTCAACCCTCGGTCCATCGTTTGGAAACGAACTCTTCAGGTTTTTGCATTTGTTATTATTCCTTGGAACCCGAGAATCGACTCACCTTAGACTACGTGTGCCATAAACGCCCAAATGCCCTCGAAAATGGCTGCAAGTTTACTTGCATTGACTTTGGGACATCGTCCCGGATAAATCTTCATGAATGAACAATACCACCAAGCTGAGAAGATTCCGCTGAAATATCCAAGTCAAACCTTTCTGTTGGGTCAGGCTGCGAGATTGGAGTATCATTCAAAGTCGCAGAGGCAGGATTCATCGTTCCCACTTTAGTCGTTCCATCGACTTCGTCTACTAGGTGATGCAGCTTGGAAGTTGTTACCTTCTATCAATTTCGATTACCACTTAGTCATGATGAGGTTTTCCGCTTACTCGCTTACGTTTGAAGTTCCATAGACTTGACTTTAGCTGCGTTCACTACTGCAGGATAGAGCAGCTTATGCAACCTATCCAAAGCCATAGTTTCACATACTGAGACTTTGATAACATCTGCCAGGCACCGTGCTAGCTCATTGAGGCATCGAGAGGCATCTTCCGATTGGATCTCGTCGTTTGAACCAGGGGAAGCCGCTGACTCGTTTGTCCGTGATTGATCATATTTTCTACCCGAGATTCACGGCCCTTCCAGCCCTTTCATCTTGAGCCGCATATGTCACACCGAGTTTATTTTCCATGGCGGACGCTGCTCGTTTACATAACGTTTCACTCAGCTAGGTTACCTTATCATAAGTGCTGCGCTTGAGCTTGATCCACGTGCGACAAGTCGAATGACGCTCAGCTAGTTGAGTGATGATATGATCGCTTGGTACTGAGAAAGTAAAGACTCTTTCCTAGCTTACCGTAAATTTCTGCCCCTCATTGAGATAATTGAAGCGGAAGATCCTCCGTGTCCCGGTGGTCGCGCGCGGCGCACCGCCCAGCCACATCACTCACACCTCCACGGCGGCATGACGGAGAAGCCGGAAATCTTCTTAGTGAATGCATAACAACAGGCTGGGCATGCCGAAAGCAAAAGCTTCTCATGAGCACAATGATATTCCCTCAGATCTCTTCCCTCCACAACGGACTTGAGACGGCTGCCGGCTTCTGCCTCCCGTCCCGTCCTCGCATTTCCTAGCTCAGCCGTCATGCCGCGCGGTTCTGAAGTGGTTTAACTGATTGGCAGTGACTTGTGACGGTAAGGAGGGAGGAAGAAAATCTCTTTTTTTTTGTGGAAGCTAATGCTGCCTCTCCCGCTTCCGTAGTGAGACCCTAAGACTGCCAGACATGCCTCTCGAGTGAGACGTCAGAATTGAGTTGGCTGGGTGGTACGGTGGCTCCCGGACGACGAGCCTTTTTCGGACAGATTATGGTGGTGTGCCACACGCGATTCAACGGGGGACAAGGGTGTCGATGGGTGGTGTCGTGCAGTAGAGGGAAGCTATCGACGCCGTTCCCACCCGCATCCCACGTTGTTGAAGTCGTAGCGAGATTTTCGCGAGGAGTGGCTGGCTAGGAAGAGCTCAGCTAAGTCGGGGTAAGAAGGTAACCTTGGAAAAGCCATTTTTTTCAAACGGGCGACGACGGGCTGATGACAGCATCGACCTAGAGCAAACTAGATATGCACAGTCTGAAGCGAAGATGAAAAGCTGCGTTTGTGATTGGTGTGGAAACCACCAAGACCCCCCCATGCAGGAACGGGAAAACGGGGAAAGCATGTGTGATCAAGGGCAGCGAAGGAGGAAAAAAGAAAAGTAGGATTCTCGGTTAACAAGAGGGGATCCATGTCTTTGTCTTCCCTGCATCCGTGGTCAAAGGGCTGGCCATCTGCCGTCGAGGGGGAGTTGCTTCGCCCGACGCTACGTCTGGTTCGTTCGTCGACCCATGCTTTTATGATGGAATCGACTTGGATCTCCTCGCGAACCCGGTACAAGTTGAGATGACCACGATCGAAATCTGTGCTTTTGGGGGCACCGGGGCCAAGATCTCGGATATCGTGACACGACAGGCTTCTTTAGACAGGCTGACACGAGGATCCTTGGACATTGCGGGAGCCAAGGCCAGTTCCATGAGATGAGGGCATTATCCTTCGGGTAATGTTGTAATTCAGGCAAGTTATTGGAAACGCGCCCATACCTCCATCCCATAATAAGAGAAAGTCATTGAGGCTATCTGCCGTCGTCGATGAATCGCGCGCAAGATCATCCCGTCATGTTTTTCCCACATGGATTCTATCATTATTACAAATTTAGCATCGCCCATTTGCATCATTTTGTTTGCTGACATCCACTTTTCCATACCACTAAAGCACCACGCAGCGCAGCCATCACACCTCCAGCCCATTTCTTAGCCTGTGTGCTTGACAGTGACTATTTCTCGCGAGGTGGGAAAAAGTCTGGGCATTGTGGTGTTTCCCTCGACTTCTGATCGCGTGGCAGCAGATGTGGCCACACCAGTATTTCTATCCTTTCCTCTTATGGGCACTCTAGGCTGTCCGCACCCCTGCCACAGCTGCACCGCGTCTGCACTGCGGTCGATAAGGTATGCAGCTTGCCATTCTGGTGGCCACAGTGGGAAGAAAAAAGCAAACAAAACCACCGCTTCGGGGGCTATTGAGTGACCTGATGTGTCCCGCCCCAAAAAGAAACGAGCAGAGAAAGGTCTGTGGTCTGGGTTCTAGGTTCCAGTCCTCGGGCCGTTGGGAACTGAGGGGGAGAGGAGACCTCGAGAGTTCAAAAATGAAGCGTCTTGCTCTCAAGGATTGGATGCTTGGACCTTTGAACGTTCGTCCCACCTCCGCTTCCCGCATAATCCACACGTAGTGTGGACGACAAGGTCAAGGTCTCCTTCCCATCGCAACCTACCGGGACGACAATATGGCGGCATCAGCACCGAAGACGCCGACGATGGGAGACAAGGTGGTGATATTTCCGCTGGAGGATCCGGGCCAAATTTCTGTGGTTGCGGTGTCTATTGTCTTCATCATCGTTCCGACGGTGATGGTGATCCTCCGCCTCATCGCCAGGCGCATGGCGCACAGAGATATGGACTTGAGTGATTGGTCTATCATTGCTGCACTCGTAAGTTTTTTATCATGCCAATAATTAGATGACCTTTCTGCGGGTTGAGATGGGGACTCAAACTCACTTCTCTCTACTAGGTCTTCTCCAATGCCTTGCAAGCAGTCTCCATAGTCGGTGTCATGCAATGCGGTGTTGGCCTTCACAATGCTGTCATCATACCCAAGTACGGGGTTGGCCCAATCATCAAGTTTCTCAAGGTTCGTGGTACCTTCACATCCAAGACGCCTTTGTAGTTATTGACGCATCTCCCTCTAGGTCCTTGTTGCTCAACAGATCTTGTGGGCCATTAGCCTCGGCCTATGCAAGATAGCCATCCTCCTCCTCTACTCCAAGCTCTTCAGTACCAGGTTCATGATATTATCAGCGCGCATACTGGCCGCCTTCACTATGATGTGGGTGGTAGTCACTGTGCTGATTGCCTTCTTCATCTGCATCCCTCTCTCGGACAACTGGCTCCTCGATCTCAAGAACCGGCACTGCGGGAACCAACCCGCGGCAGATGGGACGATGGGGGTATTGAACATGATTACCGATCTCGTCGTCCTCGTCATGCCAGTTTCTCACTTGTGGGGTCTTCGGCTGGAGATGTACAAGAAGGTCGCTCTGATCATCACCTTCTCGCTCGGAGTCTTGTAAGTTATGCCTCGACACCCGAATTATCATGATATACTGACCGCGTTGGATAGCACCTGCATCGTCTCAGCTCTGCGCCTCTACTACCTTGCCAACCTCGTGTATCTCGACGTGACCTTCAACATCCCCAGCGCTCTCATCTTCAGCGCGCTGGAGCCCGGCGTCGGCATCACCCTCGCGTGCATCCCGTTCCTCCGACCTCTGCTTGGCCGCTCTCAGTACTCTAAAAAGGGTACTGCAAACTACTACAGCTCAAATGGGAAGTCCGACGGTGTCTCAAATAGGAGGAGTGAACGCCAGAGTGACGGATTCGTTCTTGTGGACAACCTGTCGCAGCAGCATCTTCGGGAGGCCGAGCAGAGTGATTCAGCACCCGCTATTTCCAGCAAAGTCACGTATAGCAGGGGTAGCAGCGTTCGAGATATAGATTAGTATGAGAACATTATAGATCAATCAACCTTAATTGTTCCCAGAATGTTGTGCTTGACATGGCATCGGCAACCAAGAGTCCCTCTCGGCGGATAGGAACATGTCATTGCTTGGTCCGCCGCTTCCACAAGCAAAAGTCCAGCTCGTTCCCTGGCTCCGATTCTCCCGTCACATATTAACATGTTCCCTATCCCCGCATACTGCTCACTCAATCAATCGAGACGGCTCCGTCACATCTTCTGGGAGCTTGCTCCATCGGCTCGTGTAGACCCGGCCATCTTTAATCACAGCCAAGACGTTCTTCTCCGGTTCATCCAGTATCGAGACGTCGTCCAATGGGTTACCATTGAGAATCAGCAAGTCCGCCACGAACTTCTCCTTCACCTGCCCCAGCACATCCTGCTGTCGGAGCATCCTGGCGGCGTTGACTGTAGCAGATTGAAGTACGTGCATGTTGCTGAGAGCCTGCTGGCGGATGCCAAACTCCCTGCTCTGCTCAGCCTGAAGGGGGCCGAGCAGATCTGATCCGTGGCAGATGGTGACGCCCGCTGCGGCGGCAATCTTCAACGACTCGAGGCCCCTTTTCAAGACCTCCTGATTCTTCTGCTGGTTCGCGGGGGGCAAGAATCCCTTGTATTTATCGGATGCCATGGCGTCGTACGTGACCAGCGTAGGCGTCAGCCACACGTCGTTCTCGGCCATGAACTCTGCCGTCTTCTTGTCGATGAAGTTGCCGTGCTCGATGCCCGTGACGCCGTTCTCGACCGCGTGGCGGATCGCCCGCGGGGTATATGCGTGAGCCGTAACCCAAGTCCCGTAGCTCCGCGCGACCTCGCTGATGGCCTTGATCTCGTCCGCCGTAAACTGCGTATTCTCGATCCTGTCTGTCGGCGACGCGACGCCGCCGCCGACCATGATCTTGATAAAGTCGGCCCCCGTCCTCAGCTGCTCCCTCGTCGCCCTGATACACTCCGGCACGCCGTCCACGACGTTGGAGAGACCCGACGTGCCTCCGCAGCAGAGCCCCGAGTGATCGTGAGCACCTCTGCGATCGCCGTGGCCTCCCGTCTGCGAGAGAGCCTGGTTGGCGATGAACAAGCGGGGCCCGGGAAAGACGCCGTCCTGGATTGCCTCCTTTAGCGCGAGAGTCGCGCCGCCGGTATCGCGGACCGTGGTGAAGCCCTTGCTGAGGATGCGACCGCAGACGAACGATTGCCGCAGGTGAGAGACGGTGGCGTCCATGTCAAAGCCGCCGTTGAGGCCGGCCTCGCCGGGTACGGAGCTGACGTGGACGTGGCAGTCGATGAGACCCGGAGAGAGGTATTTACCCTGGAGATCGACTACAATGGCATCATTGCCTGTGCTATCGGCCGGGCTTCCACCGACGCTTTCAATCAAGCCATTGGAAATCTTGACAGACGTGTTCTTGATGACGCGACCTTTGGCGGTGTCCACGACGTTTGCGTTGTTAAAAATGTAAGTGTTTTGCTGAGGGAGCTTCCATGGCTTGATGAGCTTCTCCGGGATCGCATCCTCGGAGTCAGCCATCCACTGCCTCGGGGAAGTGCGTCGGGGAAGCTCCATGGCGGGGCCGGTGAGAGCGGGAGCTTTACGGAGGGTCATGCCGGCGACTGGATCGGGAGTGAGTTGGGTCACACTGTAGAGGCGAAGAGCAGAGTGAAGGTATCAAGTCTCAATGGTTTAGTGATGATCCAACGACGAGAGTTGAGGGAAGTCGGGCGACAATGCCGTGGCCGATAAGCGCATCGGAGCAGTTTGCCGGTGCGGAGTCGGCGATGGATGATGGAAGCATCCCTGACTGTAGCGATCAGTGCACCAGAGTTTACCTTCCTGATACGGATGAAGGATTTCACCGATTGTTATATAATCTGTTACAGGATTATCACTTTGTTTTTGCAAGATCAGGGAACAGGGAGGCCTAGTTTCCGGTCACTTGGAGTCATGGGAAACAGAAGATGCAGCTCAATGCTCAGAGCAAACAGTTTGGTCCTAGAGTACGTACCTACTCAATTGTCACAAAGTCCTCCCTTCACTCTTCCCCAAGCTGCATCACACAAGTCTCTTCCACAGCACGCCCTGAATGATAAAAAAAAACTTGAAACACAAAATGCAGTTGTCATTAGTACGACAAAAAGGCAAAAGAGTACTCCTCGACGGGGAATTGAACCCCGGTCCCCTGCGAATCGTTGAACTTCAATGACAAGCAGATATCCTCACCACTAGACTATCGGGGATTTGTAGATATCGAGACTCGCTACTAAATTTCTCAAGTATAATGCTCGTGGGAGGACTCCACAATACCACCATCGTAAAACCTTTGCCCATCGCATAATTCGACCATGATCTCATCCAATTTGGAAAGGATTCCTTCCGTTGTTAGCAGGGAATATTGAAGCAATTTCTTGGCAAGTTTGGTTGATCCCAACTTGTAGAGTAATGCGAATGCATGAGTGTAGGCATGTCCGCGCTTCTCACCGAACAATAAGTATCGGATGGAAATTTTTGGCGGTGGTAGCCTCGAGAAACTCGATTTGAGTCAACGCATGGGTCGTTTGCAGAGTCAGTAGAAGGATTCGCTTGTCGGACTTCTGACTGCTGCAACCACTGCTGTAAGGGGTTGGTCCAACGAAGACGCGTGGCTGAGACAGCAAGGCGACGCGAGCGTCCCCGGAAAGGCCTCGAACATTGGCTAGAATGCTGTCATGAAGGCCCAGATTGACAGAGTAGCACACATATCCGTAGGCGAAACATTCATGTTTGTGAGAATCAACAGGATGCTGACTACTGCCATGCTGTGACCGAGGTTGAAGTTGGCCGTTCTGAAATGAGGGGTTCTCTCACCGGGTCACCACCTCACACTGCCTTACGTGCGGATACTATGTGATTGACAGGTTCTTTCTGCCACATGGGAACACCTCTGATGAGTGCATTGCAGTGAAAAGCCAATGATGAATGGCCAAGTTACGAAGGGAAAAAGGTCTTCGCAGAAGTGTCTCAGCCCTCCACGCTCGGTCTTTCGGAGACTCGTGGGCGTGTGGAGGTGGCTTCCAGAGTCCGAGACGAGGCTTCCACACTTACACGAATCTAGTATCTCGCGACTAGATGAGTTTTGAAAGATTTTACTTTTCAAAGTGCAGATTTGAGGAAAGCAGCCGTCCGAAGGAATCCAGAAGTCTGCAAATTTGGTCGGATAACTGCTGCCTTTCGCAAGTCTCAAGTACAGTAGAGGAAATCGGAAATTTTCAGGAACCTTGAGAAGCTGGCGACCCCTCAAAATCAAGACGGCATGGCATAACCAACGAAGGTGTCTCAGCAGGTGCCCCCTCCCACTTTTCCCCACGCTTAAGTCCCGTCCCTCGGCCGAGTTGCCTACCATTTAAGGGCCCGAGGACACCGTGAACGAGTTTCGGCACCGCCAGCATCTCTATTCCCCATTCAGGAAATTCATCGTGCATGATCGATCTTTGTAGTGGTCGTGATAAATCTCAGCTCAGCCCTATGTGTGTCAGCAGAGGCAACCCTGGGGCATAACAGAATACACTGGGTGCCTGGCCCTGTCATCCGTCAGACTGAACTGTTTTGCCCCCACGCCCGAGTCCATGGAGAGTGAGTAAGACGCTTAAATCAGCCTCCTCAAGAGACGCTTGCTCTTGAGAAACGAATCAAGATACGCAATTGGCCAGGTTGCCTCGGTTGTGCCTCTGCGACGTACAATTTCCTATTTGGGAAACTGCTCTCTTTTCTCTTGGCCCTCAGCCTGCGGTTCAACGTAGATTTGCCCAAAGCGGCAATCGACATTCAGGATTATATCTTCACTAGCTTAGCAATACCATTCTCGCCACAAGACAGGGTACATTGTCCAATACAGTGTTGCAAAAGAACCGCCTCAAGCTGAACTAAATTTAAGGAACGAGAATCATCCACTTTTGCGGCGCGGTCCCGATGCAGAATTGCTTGCTCACTGTTGTGATTCGTTCTTGATTTACTGTTTATCTCGAAAGTGAATTCAAGTATTCTGACGATGTACCAAGCCAAGAGTCTAGCCTCGACAACTGACCTCGTTCAGACGGCCCGACTGGAAGTCTGATGTCTAGAGCCATTCTTTCTCATTTTCTGTCAGTCACTTTCGCTATCCTTGAGCCAATAAAGACCAAATTGCCATGTCCTAGGACTTTGTTGACCTCCTACATGAATGAGGCTGTACGACCTGCGTTGATGACTGCCTTTACTAGCGGCGGTATCCCATCTGAGAAGGATTCATCGAACCGAGACTACGGATACATTGTGTCTCGGTGTAGCAAGCTGCAAGTCCGCTGCCCTATAGGGCTAATGACCCCTGTTGCTCTTTATTATTTCCCAAAAGCGTAGTCTCATGTCGTTGGCTCTCGTGACAAGTCCTGCTTATCATCCCGGTCAGATGATGGTCTGGTGGCTGTTCATATCGTAGACCTTCATCTGAAACAGCGACTAGAGGTGGTCACTGTCCTTGAATTGATACATAAACGATGGTAGTTGCTCTTCAGTTCATATCTTGAAAGCATCAAGCAGCGCAACTTCACTACAACACTACGACTTCAACGCGACCCATCTACTTTTCCTCCCGTCTCTTTCCAGACCGAGACAACAATCACAAACACTCCATAGTCAATATGCCTGGCCCCATCGTGCCGGTCTCAGTCATCACTGCTCTCTCGGATCCCTCCAAGATGTGCCAGTGTCCTGCAACCTCACCGCCATCGACAGCTACGACCTGCGCAAGGTGCCAGCTTCCCAAAGCTGCTGCCTCCAGGTCGTAACCGGTCTCTCAGAGATCATGGCCTGATCAAATCTGCTCACCAAGCTAGATACGTGAGTGTGTGATGACCCCGAGTGTGGAACACCTAAAGTAGACACCTTTCCTAACTTTCGATCAGCTTCGATTTACATACGAAGGCACCACCTTCCGGGGAAGAGACTTTAGCAGCCAAGCGAGTTTCTTTAATCATTGTTAGACCAACCCGCTATCATATACACGACATTCTTTCCTCTCAAGCATTGACTATGCGAACACCTTTCACTAGATAGAACCATATACGAAAGTTCAAGTTCCAATACATGGCAAACATTCGACTTCCCGCCTATATGAAATTCCACCCGTGCCATGTGGGAAATTTCACGCTCTAAGCAGTCAGAATCAAAGAGACCCACGCATTGAGCCAAGTTGTGGCCGACCACAGAGTCGGACCCTTGCCTCTCAAGTGTCTCCATCGTGAACCAAGTGGGTTGGTGGGACACAAGCACCCGCCAACCCCATCCCCTACTCACAACGCAAGCAATCTCGAGAAATGAACCTGCAATTCCCAGCCCTGTCAGCAAGCACAGGATCGATGCATCGTCAAGGGCCTTGTTGGCTAAGTGGTATAGCGTCTCACTAGTACTAGTGACATGAGAAGATCGGCGGTTCGATTCCGCCACGAGGCAATCTTTTGCTAGCAGATACTCTTTTGCAGTGGTACGATGGTGGGCGGTGGCACAGGGTAAAATTTTGGTTAAGAATGCTTTGGAACAAACAAACCTAGAATGAATGTCATGATGAATTGAGTGACCATACGCCGTGTCTAGATGTACTAATGCTTCTCACCTAGGCCCATGTAAGGAAGTTACGGGCAGGGTTTCACGAATGAAAATCTTTGAGTCATGTTGAAATGGTATTGAGATTCAATTAGGTGATCAGGTGTTGGAATATCCAGAGTCTAAACAGGGAGGTATAGAAGTGAACAAAGATAGATGATATCGAGGCGCATTAGAAGAAAAAATCAATCTGATATCATAAAGCCCCGCCATGTTACATGAGAAAACTTCAGTTACCCACCCCATCCTCCGTATCTCGTACATGACATTACAAAAGAAAGTAGAAAGTTGCGCCATTCCTCGGCGTTGGGTCAGTTACACGTGAGAGAGAGAGAGAAAGAAAAGAAAGCGCGAAAGCAAGACATGTCAGTGGAATCACGACTTGTTCTTGCCATCCCAGAGGATGATACCAACAGACTCCTCCCAGCCGCGACCGGCAGCAATCTCCATGACGGTGCGGCCGGCATCGTCCTTGGCGTCGAGGTCGACACCGCCAGCCTCGACGAGAAGCTTGAGGACCTTGGCGTCGCCGTTCTCGACGGCCTGGAAGATGGCGTTCCATCCACGGTAGATCTTGTTGACGTCAGCGCCCTTGCGGAGCAGCATCTCAATGATGTCCGTGTCATCACCGCGGCACCGGCGCACCGCCTTGACGATGGGCAAGTGCTCGCCGGGCGCGTTGATGTCGGCACCACCCTGCTCGATGAGGAACTTGGTGATCTCCTTGTTGTCCTCGCGAATGGCAGAGGTCAAGGGCGAGAAGACGCCACCGTTCTTGTCCTCGACTGACACGCCGGCCTTGAGCAGGAGCTTGACGCTCTCGAGCTGATTGGCGACGACGGCGCGCTCCATGAGACCCTTGAAAGAGCGGATGTCGGGGACGGCAGGGAGGAGCTTCTCGAGGACCTCGGGGTGCATGACGGACATGACAATGGGCCAGTCGCTGCCGCGAACGTTGGGGTCTGCGCCGTGGGCGATCAGCTCGTCGAGCATCTCCATGCGACCTTCCTTGATGGCGGTGGTCAGAGGGGTATTGCCGTCATCGCCCTTGTCGTTGGGGCTGACGCCCTGGTCGAGAAGCCAGTTGAGGGCCTCCATGTTGTTGACCCGGACGGCCATCTCGATGATGCCCTTAGGGTTGTGGAGGTCGTTGCCGGCGGCGACCAGGCGAGGGAGGAAGTGTGTACGGAAGTGCGTGACACACTTGAAGGCGGGGTACTCGGCGGAGTTGAGGTTGGGGTCGGCACCGCTGGTGAGGAGGAGCTCAAAGATGTCTGCGCGGTTGTCGCGGATGGAGGTACACAACGGTGTGTAGATGCCATCCTTCTTGGTGTTGGGTGAGACGCCGGCAGAGAGCAGGACGCGGACGGACTCAATGTTGTTGATACTGACAGCAAGCTCCATGTTACCGGGTGCCCGCTTGTTGTCAGCACCGCGAGCCAGAAGAACCTTCAAGCAAGGTGCCTGGTAGGTCGCGGGCCAAAGCATGTGCTTGGGACCAGGCAGGTTGGGGTTGGCACCGTGGTCCAAGAGAGCAGTGAGGAGGTCCACTCTTGCAGCCATGATGGTCTCGAACAGAGCAGTCTTACCTTCTCTGTTCTTGACGTTGGGGTCGGAGCCGTAGTCGAGCATAAGGTCGACCAGCTTCTTTGGTGTCGTCTTGTTCATGGAAGCGATCAGGACGGTGTTGCCGTTGGCCATGATGTGGTTGGGATCACCGCCATATGTGAGGAGGATGTGGACAAAGTCAATCTTGACATCGATGACGGCGATGGCAAGCGGGGACTCTTGTGAAGGTCCCGCGGACGTGTTGGGGTCTGCACCATACTTGAGAAGCATCTTGGTGAGATCAAGCGAGTTCATCTCTACTGCTGCGAAAAGGGGAGTGATGCCATCCTTGTCGGCAGAGTTGGGATCGGCACCGAAGAGAAGCAACAAGCGGACTGCCTCGTGATCCTGGCATAGGACAGAGTCCACGAGAACGTGCTGGTCGGGGCCAGTGTCGGGTGAGACACCGCGATCCAGGAGCTGCTCGACGAGCTTGTGATTCTTGCCCTGGACAGCAGCAATAAGAGAGGTCTTGAGCGACGGGTTGCCATCGGCGTTGTGACGAGGTGTCCAGCGAGGCATCGTCATAGGGTCGGCCTTCAAGCGAACAACCTTGGTTGGGATGCTGTCGGCGATGTTCTGAAGCTCACCAATCAGTGTCTCTGTACCTGATGATGAGGGCGAGATGGTGTTGTCCGAGTCACGCAGGTTTCTCCTATCTGAGATACGGCTGGGAGCGTCATATGTATCGCGGTCCGACATGCCACGGTCTGACATTCCACGGTCCGAGATTGTCATGTCGTCCCGCGCTGATCTCCTGTCCATGTTGATTCTTGTGCTGACAGGGTGGAGGTCGTAGTGACCGTGCTCTGAGATGGTGATATCGTCGCGACCGATTCTGCGGTCGGGAATTCTAGTAGAGTGTCCATTCTCTGAGGAGCTGTGATGACTCCTGTTGGAGATCGATGTGCGACGACGAGGGTCTGGTGATAGCCTCATCTCCACGAAGTCTGCGGACATCTTTTCTACCAAGGAAGGAGGAGGAATGTGAGGTGCTTGGGATGGAAGAGCAGGAAGGGGGGGAAGAGGAGGGGATCTCTCGTCAGAGCGATCCGGTGGTGTCGTCGACTGGACCTCGAACGACTTGGACTTTGATATCCGCACCGTTGAGTTGTGGTTGCTGATGCGGTCCAACGCGGCAGCGAGGCCGGCATAGCCGTTGCCAACAGCGTCGTCTGTCTTGGAGTTTCCGAGAGACCATTGGAAGACGAGAGCACTCATCCTCAGCGCATCTCTTGCCTTGCGTATCGACTCCCTCATCCTCAAGATCTCCTTGTCGGCAAACATCATGCGCCAGCCGCGCTGGATCCTACCCATGGCACCCTTCTTCTCGTACTCGAGGAACTCGAACATCATGTGGTCGAGGACCTGGAAGTCGGAGTTGGTCGAACGGAACTTCATGTCGAGCTCCTTGATCATATCGGCGGGGAACTCCTGGTGGGTGCGAGCTGCCTCGGAGAGGCCAGCCTCGATGGACCATAGTATCCGGCAGATGTCGAGGAAGTCATTGGCGAGCTCTCTGAAGCCGTGCGGTTGGTGCTTGACGTTGGTGAGGAACTCGAGCATGCGCACCGAGATGTTGTTTCCGAGGAGCGTGGCCCTCGTGCAGAGGTCCAGGACGGACTCCTTGGCCTTTGGCTTGCCATACATGGCGGCGGTCATAGTGCCTCGTCTTGGTGCCTGGTAGGGCTGTAAAGACATGAGGGGTTGTTATCAGATGGTGATGTTGGACTGAGTGGCTCTAGGGTGTTATCGAGGGTAGCCTTGTATGTTGATCCGCACACGACACTATATGGTCAGATCAATGCTACTAATAAAGGCGGAATGAAGATGTAGAAACAGAACTTCCTCTCTCCCCGCTCATGGAGCAACGTGGGAGCTCAGCTGTTTATCTGTAAGTTTCGCCGCGGTGGGCAAAGCTGAATCTCACCCAGGTGATTGCTTGTCCCAGCCAAGGTCCCTCCTCCCCCGAAGAGCTCTCGGACAAGTCGAGGCCTAGTCTGTGGCCATCGATAGAGACAAGAATCAAGCGGCAAGCCACCAACCACGCCAAATGGGGCTCATTGGGAAAAGCAGGCATTGTCCCGGCTCGGAGCCATGAATCGTGATTGTACCCAAGAGAGACAAACACGGCGTCTACATTGGAGGATGAGGAAGCCGTAGTGCCAGGTACAAGGGAGGTTCCAAGCACCAAGTCAACGCTAGAGCAGTTAACCCCAGAGACGACCTGCGCTAGGCCGTCCGCTTTGACACAAAGGACCGGAAATCAGACAGGAAAGCCAGTGCGGCCAGGCCATTCAAGACAAGAGACTGACATATGCCACCACTAGCTGGCACCGGGTCCCAGCGTTAGACCCCCTGGCCCGAAGTCTTCAGGAGAAAAGGAAGGATTTTTTTTCTGCTCTAATGTCTTGGAACCAGACGAAAAGACGGGACGATGACTAGATGAGAAAAGAAGAAAAAAGCAAGCATGACAGTGTGTGTTGTTACCGGGAGGAAAGATAGTGAGGCTTACACGCTCCCACGCTTCCTACTCTACTCCCGTGTTCCCTCTGAGATACAGTGTCCGCTTCCAACCCATGTTCATCTTAGCGCTGGTGGCGTGGGGAGCTGAGAACGGTCTCGCCACGTGAGGAGGAGTCCTGGTTGACATTCCGATGCCTCGCACACAGTGTTTCTATGTCTCTGTGTTTCCCACCCCTCCGGGCCTTCTCTTGTCCCCCCCTCTCCTCCACTCTCCCCCCACTGGCAAACAGATCTAGCAGAGTTTTTTCTTCTTCTTCTCGAATCTGTCGCCTCGAGCGGGAAGCCTTGGGATGGTTGCTTTGTGAGTTGTGACCGATCCATTTGACATAGCTTCCTGGGGAAGCAAGCGACAGCCCGGGGCTCCACGAGCGGTTCGGTCGTTGCCGATCAAGCCTCCATCTTGCCATTGTCCTTTGTGCTGATGGGATTGGGGAACTTAGAAGGGGGCGCAGATAGCCATTGGATTCGGCAGTGTAGGGGGCATGCCTGAGCAGTGAGGGGGACGTCATGTCAATCCATTGCAAATCTTTAAGAAATCGGCAGTAAATCTTGCATTCGGCAAGTGCGCAATTCAGATACGGATATCTGCCATCTGTGCTTGTCGCTCCCAATGTGACGTCTTGCCGGGGGGCGTGGCACTGGTGGGTGTTGCTTGACTCAAGACGCTGTCAAAAGCTGCAAAGCGGTGCGGAGCCGTGTGTGCGTCGACGTCTCGAAGACGTCGAAAGGAGGTCTGTTCGTCCTCGGTACATGACAAGTTCTACGCGTCTGCTATCAGAATCAGATCAGTTTGCGACGGCCTAGACCAGCTTCAGTCCAGTGTCGTTTGGATTGATCAGCGATTTGCGGGACCGCATGTTCGTGATGGCCTGAGCAAGGGGAGCCAGAGGAGACAGAGGAGCCAGACTGCCAGAGAGGGCAGAGAGGGCCATCAAATCACCGTGTCACCCATGTGTAGCGTAGTCAAGAACCAGTGCGATGATACACCGTTGCCCATCAAACCCTGCATGCTTTGGCTTTAGCTGGATTAGCTGAAGCTGCGTACGAAGTACCTGGGTTCGTTGCCAGGGTTTGTGGTCAGGGGTAATAATTAGTATGTATAATAGCAAGCAGGCAGGCAAGCAACAAGCAACGCAAAGAGGGACGACGGACCAACAATCGCAAAAGCCCAAGGAAGGAAAAAACTAGCAGCGAACCATCGCGCGTCTGCGACCCTGGGCCGCGGGGAATAAGCTGATGTGCCCCGTTCCAATGGGCACGGGACGGGCTTGCGAACTGCGAGGGGAAAGTTAACCGTGCGTCTTGATCGCCGCGATGAGAATCTGTGGTCCACACTGGCTGGGCGGGAGTCCCTGTCTCCCCCCAGACACTACGTCGGAGGAGGTGGTGCTGGACCTTGGTCCTTGGTATCCGTGGTGGTTGTCGTCGTGATGGTGTGTGGTAGTAGTTTACTATGTGTTTACTATCAGGAAGGGCGAACACCGCGGGCGCGAGGGGGATGGGGGGATGCCGGCCGCCTAACTTCCAAGATATGAGCCCCAAGACATCGTTGTTCCTTGCACAGACGCTCGTGTCGTCAAGACTTCTCAATCTGCTGTGCCACTGTTCGCCAGAGAATGATGGGTATCCCGTAAGACTATTCTCCACCACACACCTTGGCCAGGCCTGGTCCGCGTCGTGTCCTCATTTCGGACTTGTTGGCTAGGGTAGATGCTAAAGCGAAGGCTCATCTAGAAAAAAACACCCGTACGGACGCCGTACGGATACTTTACGTCTTTGAGACTAACAATGAGCTGAGGGTTCGGGTTCGTAATGGGGGAGCTGATGGGTGGTGGTGGATGCATGGACCGTAGCTCTCCAAGTTGTGTGCCGGGACCCCTCAAGCAGCCAAACAGCTAGCTACGTCTAAATTGCATTTGCAATTGCATTTCCACAAGATTGGAGAGCTGCAGTGGGGGAGGGGACTTGGGGGGACTCGGCCTCGCTTTCGAGGAACAAGGTCAAAAGGAGGAGGGTGAATGGCACCCGAGTTTAGGTACGACTATGATGCAAAGTCACCCTCAAGATGACAAGAAGAGGTAAGGTCAAAGGCAAAGCAAATCGGGCGCAAAAGCCACAGAAAAGCCTTGTTTGCGTCCTAGGAGGATTCCCCGAACGCCTCCTTGGGCCTCTATCGGCGACTCGGTTCTCTGATCAGGGTACCACACCAACGGATTTTTGACGCCAACGCCAAAAGAAGCCAAAATCACGTCGAAATCTCCTCGAGGCTCGCCCCCCGTGGTCCCCGCCCGTCCGGTCTACTCTGAGTTTCTGTACCCATCGCTCCGACTGGCCAACTAGGCCAACTGTCACTTTGCCAGATCAAATAGCGGCGGTATTAGACTTCGGCCGGGCCGGGTCTACGCGTCCACAGCCCAACAGCTATCTCGGTTCGCTCATGGCTGCTTCCATCCATGCGGCGCAAGCAAGACGTATCCGTACTCACAGACGAGTCCAGAGGGAGGGAAGAGGGTGTGGTGTCGCTCGCAAGCGTCCGGGCTTATCCCAACGCAGCTTTACATGTGTGTCTGCTTGCCGCTGCTCCCTACTTACCTACTCCCTACTGTCTGTACAGTGTAAAGTAAGGTAGAATATCCGTAGATTAACTTGCCAATTTGCGAGGCTTTTCCTCTGGCGTTTGTCCTAATCACCACTGCCGACATGTTCCCACCCCAAATCATGCCGGCACGATTACCCGCAAGCACTCCAACGCACACCAACGCATGCAATATGTTCGCGCTCGGGGGGTTTCCTGGCAGACTACACAGACGGCTGAACATTGCAATCTCGCTGCCGTTACTAAGCCTGGGTTGGGCTGCCATCTTCTATCGAATAGCCACGTGGAATGGCCCCTGCCCCTTTTTCTTGCCTCTGCCATCTGAAAGATTTCCCTAGCCTTGTGCCACAGGTCGCTTCTCATGGCGCAGCACTTCGAAGCTCGGCTTTGCGCCTCTCCATGGCTTATCCCCGTACTCCAGTAGGCTATCGCTCGGGAGATGCGCATTGAAGAAATCTCGATCCTCTTGGAGGACGGTCAAACTGCTAATTCACTGCGGAGTATCACCTCCCGGCAACGCTCGACGCTCTCTTTCTCACCTCTCTCCACGAGAGAAAGAATAATGAGATCTTTGTTGTTCAAGCTCCTCCATGTTCTACACCCGTTCTTGTGCCGAGCCTAAGAACGGCGGTTCTCTCGCATAAGGCAGTGATGGATTCCCAAGGATCCACTGATCAGCTCGTGTGATATAAGGACTGAGACAGGCGCCTTCGGGAGACGCCTCGCGGTCTCAGTCCCACGGCAGCAACCTTTTTGCATTGACCTTTCTCCAAGGGTCTATCATCTGGAATGGCTTGGACTGTACAGGGTCACATACATAGTACAGATGTTGCGGCTTTCTTCCGCCGCCTCATCCCATCCTCGCCCATCCTTCGGTCCCCTGCCCAGCCCAGCCACGGCATTTCAGCCAGCGTTGCCTTCCCCAACGTCGCAGAGCCAGCAGATCGCACTCAATCCGAGGCAGTAGTGTGGTAGACTCACGGAATGTTAACAATGTCAAGTATGCAGTAGGTACCTAGGATATGTACGGAAACGTCGAATAGACCCTTCGTGGTCACACCTCAAAATCCCACGGCGCGCATTTTTCGCCCGCCATGTGTAACAATACAGTAGAAGAAGAAAACAGAGCATGAAGGTATCTATACCCCAAGAATTACATCCGCCGCCTTCTCGCTAATCATGTACACCGCCGACGCGATGTAATATCCAGGAATCTTGGGGAACACGCTCGCGTCCACCACCCGCAGACCCTCCGTCCCTCTCACGTTGAACTTTGCATCCAAGACGGCGGCGGCATCGCCGTCTTTTCCAATGGGGCACGTACAGCTGGCATGGTGGCCCCAGGCTTCATTCCTGACAAACTCGGGCAAGTCCGCATCGGTGACATTCTTCCCGGGCCAGACCTCGGTGAAGCCTCCCGTAAGGGGCACGACGCTCTCGAACATCTTGCGCGAGAGCTTCATGCCCTCCACCACGGCCTGGATGTCCTTAGCGCCCGTTGCCTCGTCCTGGAACGAGTTGAAGTCAATCTGCGGCATATCCCGCGGGTCGGCTGAACGCAGCTTGACGGTTCCGGCCCGGTTGCGGCTGTGGGCTTTGAGGGTGATCCACGTCCAGTGTCTCTGGTCCGCGGTACCATCGACGGAGTATCCGGGATAGTAGCCAGGGAAGGCGACTGGTGCTCCTGCAATAAAGAGGTCCGGGTCTCCCTCTGCCACTGTCGATTTCTTGACGATACCCAGGCTGATGCCGTTAGAACCATAAATCCCCCGCTGCCCATTCTCGGCACCCTCCTGCCACTTGGTCAAGCAGGGATCGTCTGTACCGGGACGAATAAAGGTGCAGCCTTCGATGATCTGAAAGTCTGTCGGCGTTTCGCCAATAACGGACGTTTCGTAGCCTGCAGTGATGATGATCAGTAAAACGGCTCTCTACATGGATTATCGATTCGTCAGCAGCAATTGAGAAAACTCACGGTCTTGCAGGTTAGTGCCGACACCAGGAAGATCGACGATAGAAGGTATTCCGAAAGAGGATAGCTCCTCCTTGGGGCCAACGCCACTGAGCTTGAGCAGCTGCGGGGTATTGAAAGCGCCGGCTGACACGATGACTTCGGCCGTGGCGTTTACGGATCCGGCGACGCCCTCGGAGGCATCGCCGGATCGGGGGTCGGCGCGGTAGAGGCTCTGTCCCGTGACAAAGTCTACCCCCACGGCCCGAGGCTTCGCGCCGCTCTGGTCGAAGCGCACCTTGGTCACGAGGGTGGTGAGCTTGATGTCGAGGTGGTACTTTCTAGAACCATCCGCATTCTTCGCGTTGGCCGTGTCCAGGACGAACTCGCGCGGTCCATTACGGACGCCGTTGTCCACGGAGATGGGGACCTGGTAAAGACCCTCGGCGGAGTCGCGGCTAGGAAGGTCGACGTTGAGATCACGGAGAAGAACCTCGCCGAGACCCTGGATCGTCGAGAAGATCAAGCCAAGGAGACTCTTGCCCATGGCGGAGGCGGCTGACAGAATGACTGTAAGCAGCTTGATATCCTTGATAACTAGTCCCAAGTCCGTCACAGAAGTGGTGAGCCAGCCATCGAATCCATGTCCTACGATGCCATTGGGCAAGTATTCGGCATTCTCTAGACGCTGGAAGTACTTGCGCATGTTGGACGCGCCCCAGGTGGTGTCTCCTGTCAAGGTCGCGATACCATCCCAATCTGACTTGTGCGGGTAGACCGTGATCAACGCGTTGTGACTGCCGCAACCACCTAGTGTACCAGCTCTAGGATACAGGATACCGAGCGGCTCAGCGCCAGCCGGCGGGTTGAGTCCGACGTAGAGCTCCCCGTTCGTAAGTCGGTATGTCATCTTGGAGTCCTTCTTCTGGGCCTCAAGATCGGCAAAGTGCTGAACGTAGTAGTCCCATTTCATTGGGCCGTACTCTGTCGACTGAAGGTTCAACGCAGGTACCTTGTACGGGATGGAGTCTCCCTGGTCGTCGCCGGCGTCGATGAGCAGGACCTTCTTCCCGGCGATGGCGAGCCGTGCGGCAAGTGGACCACCACCCGGCCCGGAACCGACAACGACGTACTCATAAGACGCGAGGATGTCGGTAAATTGCCGTGGGACAAAGTGCTGGCTCGGGCTATCAATGTTGTATCCGCGTCAGCTAACCATGCTCGCTCGTTGCGTACTTCGCTTCTTAAGGTTCAGGGTAGGTCAAACTCACACAGCAGAGGCCGTGGCCACGATGTAGCCCAGCACCACGTTTGTGAAATGGAGATACCAACGCATCTTGGATGGGACTGGAGGCTTTCGAACTGGTTCTTGAAAAGGTCGCAGCACCAAGCAACTCAAACAGGAACGCCCGTCGTTAGAAAGTCAGTGTCTGCCGGGGGGGCGCACATTCCCCTTAAGAACTTATTCCAAGAAACCTCACATGCCCTCCTCGACGTGATGCGCCTGATCGCGACATGGGGAAAAAGTCGCAACGCCCCTTGCTTTTGATTAGACATGTCGCTACCCGTCATGTCCCCTCCCCATCTCGGATGTGACCTGCTTCTTTCCTATGTGACGGTGATCAATGTAGGTGATGCTATGTATGGCAACCTTCCCACCCACGGTCCCAGAATCGCCCTTCTGATGGTTTTTCAGCCTACCATCGTCGGCCGAAAGAACGATTAAGGAAGGACGTGGAGGCTGCCCCCTGGGATGCGCACGGGAGAGAATCTGAGAATGATGTTGGTCATGTGGAAACACGAGCGGGAGGCCGATTAAGGTGAGGAGGACGCCAGGGGGCAGCGTTGCAGTCACGGCGGGCGCGAACTTGGCATTACTGTTGCGGGGGCTGCTTTAAATGAGATTGCGCTGTAGGATGTCTTGAAGCGGGAAAGCTATCCGATGCACTTCGGAGCGCCGAGCACGAGGGCAGACGGACGGTCCTGGTTATGCGGGGGATAGCTCAGCCTTGGAGGGAGACATCGGCCCAAATTCTGAATGGGAAGTATGGCCAGATATCTTCATGGCTAGACTAGTCGTCCGGGGATGACCTTATACGCGGCCCGCGGGGTTGTGTCAAAGCTTCCAATTAGCCTTATTTCTTTGCTTCATGCATCTCCCATCTGTCTACCCGCAAGGTACGATCGATGATATGTTGGATGAACCGCTCAAGTCTTGCAAACCTGCGCTTCGCATTGCTCAAGATTTCAGTAAGCGAGGGATCATAGAAGCTTGCAGACATGAATCAGGCCACCCCTGAGCAAATCTTTTGTCCGTTCTGCTCAGCTGCCCACCCAGCTGAGTTTTGCTGGGCATGCAATATGCGAGCCCGTCCTTTCACCCTGCCCTGTCCCCCGACCCCCCGCAGAAACCTGGCTCTCTAAAGTCTGGTCTTGGTTAGCGCCATCTCTTCTGCCAAAGAAGACCGGCGTCCGCCCCAAGCCTATTGCGGTGCAGCGTGTGAGCGTCTCACGACTGCAACGGCCCCAATGCAGTGAAGGATCCCACCGGCTAAAGAGTCATCAAGATCCCAAGAAACGGGCTGACGATGCGGCTCGCGCTGGATGATTCGGCCAGCCTAATCTTAACCATCGAAGATCTTCAGTCGTCACATTCGTTGATGTGATAGCGCTTGGAAGAAGAAACTTTCAGCAATGCGCATTGTAGATTTAGCACATTGGGCACACGCAAGCAGCCTACCACCCACTGCCAACGTTGCTCTTCTTCGTCTCACAAGCGAGAGACATCAAGCGCTATCGTTCACCTATTATCCATTGCTTTGAAAGAAGCCGGATAACCGCACATGGTGATGTGAGCAGTACGCCCTGTGGCGCTCTCACCAAAGCAACTGGGCTGGATGCATAACCCGCAAGTCCGGTCGCCCAGACGTTAGCGACGAGAGCTGGAAGCGTTCCCCGTCTCCCCGGCGTCGAGGCCATCCCCAAGTGTGCCGCTTTCGTCCATCAGAAGCCATTGTTTCGTAGTGGCGGCTGAGTGGCGATCCAGCCTTGTGGATGTGAGTCTTGAACGAAACTCCGGTCCCCGACATGTATGGCCAGTTCTTATAGAGAATGCTTCCCTCATTCCGCGTGGGCACAGCCATGGTGATGGGGGGTTCCTTCGCCGTTTTGTCAACTGTACGCCTATGCAACGATCGGCATCAACCGCACATCACATGCCGTCGCATCGTTTTTGAGAATGAAGCAAAGCATGCGGGTCGCCATTGTCCTGCTGTTTGCTACGGCGGCACAGGCGACCGTGTCTAGCTTGAACTCGACTGAAATCACAAAGCTACTCGCGACGACACCAAAGTGTGCGGTAGGTTGCTCTCGAAGTCTCAGTCGTTGTGCTCCGCAGCCATCTCATGACTCTGAGTCAGTACCTAGTTACATTCACTGACCGAGCTTCTCTCTTAGATGCCATGCTTCGTCGATGCGTTCCATTCTGGCAATTGCACGCTCGACGGCTTGACGGACTGTGTCTGCACCAACATCCCCCTGCAGGCCCACGCATCAGCCTGTATACAACAAGCGTGCGAGTTCGATGACCAAGTCGGTGCGTAGGCTTTTGAGGCCGATGTGCAACGACTATATTTTCACTAACATCACTTTGAAGCCACCGCCCGCATCTCGCAGCGATTGTGCGAGGGCTATCCTTTCCCCGAGCGCAGAAGATTCTCCAAAGTCTTCTCCATCGGCCTACCTGTTATCACGATCCTCACTGTGGCTCTCCGATGCCTGGCCCGATTACAAGTTACCAACCAACTATGGTGGGACGATTGGACGGCACTGATCGCTTTGGTGAGGCCTCCAACGATGGTTCACGTATGGTAACTAAATGACTGACTATGGCAGGCATTTTTGATAGTCATGTCCGGCCTTGGCTACGCAAGTATGCGCTTCACCTCGTGGCTCAGAATACTTCGTGTTCGGTGCTAACCTGAGCTATCAGATGCTGCCATGGGATTTGGGCTTCACTATTGGGATATCGACCCGGGAAATGGCAAGACTATTCTGCAGGTACGACAACGCAAGACACCTTATGCCACGATGTTTGTATAGCTGACTGACATTCTTTCGCAGATTTTCTATGTCTTGCAAATGCTCTACATATTTATACAGTATGTGCATCGACGATAATCCGAGGTATTGAACAACCATCGCTAACTATCGGTCAGAGTTTTCGCCAAAGCCTCCATCGCCTGCTTCTACTCCCGCGTATTCACCAACCAGAAGTTCCGACTAGCAGTCAAGTTCTTCATGGCATTTCTGTTCACCCACGGCTTCATGTTCCTTTTGTTGATGGTGTTCCAATGCCTACCGATCCAGTCGATCTGGGACCGATCTATCCAGGGTCGTTGCCTTAACGTCTCGGCAATCAGCTACGGAGGCGCCGCTTGTAGCATCATTGAGGACATCATCTTGATCGTCATCCCCATCCCAGAACTCATGAAGCTTCAGTTGGGGAAGAAGAAGAGATCAGCTTTGGTTTGCATGTTTGCTGTGGGATCCTTGTAAGTGCACATGGTAGACAGGATTCAAGCGGGTAAACAAATGCTAACCAATGGCTACAGTGCCTGTGTCGCAAGTATGATCCGACTGAAATACTTGATTTCGTTTGCAAATTCATTTGATTCTACTTGTGAGTTTATCCTGACCACGGTCCGTGAAAAGCACTGGGACCTTGATGCTGACAGCCGCTCCAGGGGACAATGTCGATGTCGTGCTCTGGTCATCAGTCGAGCTCAACCTAGCCATCATCTGTGGCAGCCTCCCAGCACTACGACCTCTCTTCAAGAAGTTGCCAATCTTCTTCACCACCATAAGATCGACCGTACAGAGCGGGACATACCGAAGAAAGTCGCAAGCACAGTCCACAACAGCGATTCGCAAGTCTCACCATTCACACGCCTCACATGAATCGAGCACACAGTCATCGCCCGACAACTCTCCGCAGAAGCCACATGCAGTCAAATTGAGGGACTTCGGAGGCAGTTCTACGACGTGCGATAAGGACGCACATTATACCTTCGAAATGACAACTGATGAGGAGAGCAGGGATGACTTGGAGAGTCAGGACTGGGCACGGGCGTATGGGAAATAGGAGACTGGTGCTGCTTGTCTGATGAAGAAGAACGTCTTTAATGTGTAATGATCAGCGATGTATTCTAAGATCCAAATCCTATTGACTTCAAGAACATGTGATGAGTCTATTCAGGAGTGTGTCAAGTATTGAAGTTGTCATGTGTGCCGTTTGTAGATCCAATTGCTGTCATCAGACTTTCTTCAAATGCGATGCCGGGTTATTCGAACTACCCCAGACTGCGCAGTCCGCTATCAAGGATTTGTCTTGAACAAACAAAACTAAAAGTGTCCTCATAGTTTATACCTTATTAAGTCGAAAGACAATCAGTTCAGCGTTCAAAAGAGGACAACAAAAATACCTGTAGGGCACGTGTATAGATGATGAAGCAAGATATACTGCCTGAGTAGCTGTGGCGTACTAAGTCATCTCAATTTTAAAGCTCCTCGAGGCTACCACTGTTTCACGCCTTTCTGGTGCATGAAAAACACAGCTAGCAAAGTGTGAAGTTTGACTTGTAATACCTCTTCACATCACTTCTATCGTGAGTCTCTGTATCCCTTAGTGAGTCTTCCAGCTGAGGTCTTTTCCACAAGGCATCGGTGAGATAGCTATGTCACAATATCGTGCACGCTTTTTTGGGAAACCTATGGATTTTGGACAGAATTTCATCCGTACATGAGTTCAAGATTTATCTGGATTATCTGGAGATGAATACTAATCAAAACCCCATGCATTGATTGCGGGACAATTGCTAGCCGTTCGTAGAGTGATTGTGGATCTCAATCCTGACTCGGATTGCCCAAAACAAAAAGGAGGAGGAGGAATCACGGTCCATCCAGGCATTTTACCGTACATCCGCCGGAGTAACATAAAACAAAGCGATTCGATACTAATCAGATTCTTGCTCAAAGAGCAAATACATGGAAGCAGAACTGCGGCTGTGGTGCCCACAACCCCGAAGAAGGGCACCAACAGCGGCACATATGCAGCATTGCCCTTGTTAGTCTCCGTAGATTAGTCGGGGCAATCCAGAACTGCGCGCTAACTTAGAGACCGAATATGTTGAAGAAGATGGTCTGTTGTAATTCACCCATGAAGACATGGAAGAAGGATTATGGATAGAATTATCAGCTCAAGTTGATCGCAACCACAATTCTCATCGTATGACATAACAACTGCCGGGAGCATAATCTTGTTTAGAGGTCTTGGGCTCGCTGTCGTCGCCGGGGTTGCGTCACGCAATATCATTCATAGTCGACTTCAATATTTGCTTCATCCTTATGCCATACTGCAGGGATCTACGGATGACAGATCCTCACATGGAGCTCTCGGGAGTTCGGACGAATTCGAGTATCTCACTAAGCAGACGCAGGACCTCGCTCTACGGACTCTAGGACGGCGACTAGGCTACTGTGAACTCCCAATTAGTAGCTTACATTACATCGAGAGTGTTGATAATCCGTATGGATGACTGGCTTTATAAAGTTTGGTCTCCCATCCATGAATCAGAACAATTTATCCTAACTCCATCACCAACTCCAGTTCCAGCTTCACCACCATCAACCTCACCGACAATCAACCAAGCCTCACAAGATGGATGTTCTCGCTACCCTCGACCCCAGGCTCCGTTTCAAAACCGCCGATCTCAACGGAATTCAATACAGATATATCCATGCAGAGCCGGATTTGGGCAAATCTGCTGGTACTGTGTTCCTCATCCATGGATGGCCCGATTTGGCCCTGGGCTGGGCCAACCACATCCCCTTCCTCCTGTCTAAGGGTCTGAGCGTCGTCGCGTTGGACAAGATAGGGTACGGAGGAACTGATTCACCCGAGGACGTTAAGTTCTAGTAAGTTATTTGAAGTAGTCAACCGTAAGCTGGTTTAGTAAAACCCCGCGGCGTCTAATAAACTCGTGTAGTACTTGGAAGCGCGCCGCAGACGATATCGCCACACTTGCAAGCCAACTCGGCCTCTCTCGAATTATCCTCGGCGGACACGACTTTGGTGGAGCAGTTGTCTATCGCACCGCCCTCTGGCACCCAGACCTCGTTGCAGCCTTCTACGTGCTCAACACGCCCTTCGCAACTCCCACGGCCTCATTTGTAGACCTCGCCTATGAGTGGCCTGGATTCAAATACCAGCAGCAATTCCGCACAAGTGCCGTTGCGGATTATGTTGGGCCTGCTGATGCTCAAAACACCACCCGCATTCGACAGATCCTGAACAACGTCTACGGGGTAATTGGCCCCAACGGCGAGCAACCCAGCAACGTCACAGACATTGGATTCTACTTTGATCTGCTTGATCTTGTGACTAAGGACACGCCACTTCTCACCAAGGCCCAAATCGACTTTTATGTCGACGAATACACCAAGAAGCCAATCAATCATACGCTCAACGAGTATCGCAACAACAAGCTTAACTGGGAAGATGAGCGAGTACTTATTCCTGACAACACCACTTACAGCGGCAAGTTCAAACAACCTGCATTGTACATCGCTGCAACCCAGGACCTCACGCTTCCCCCGTCTCTGTCTGAGGGGATGGAAACGTACTTTGACAGCTTGAGCCGAGGTGAGATCGATGGCGGGCACTGGGCGAGGTGGGAGAAGCCTCTCGAGGTTGAGAACTATGTTGGAAACTGGTTGGCCACCTCAGTGTTTGGCAATGCTTCCTTGAACCTTACTGCAGGGCTCGGCCTTGGAGCACCCTGAGTATAAGTGCGAGCTGAGATGAGGCGATGAACTAGGCGTCTAGCCATCATCGACCTGAGGCTTTTGTATAAGACGCATGAAATATGCCGATTGCTATGTGTATTGAGCTAGAAGTCTTGTTAATTGTACAAATTGAGAAGATCAGAGAAGTCAATATACTCGTCTGAGGTACCAGTAAGTAGGCAAAAGCTCAACTGACGCCGGGCCGTGTAGGCGCTGATGGTAGTCGTGATAGCCCGGGCCCATCTCTAGTATATAAGTAGAAACGATACAAGGTAGTCACAGAAATGACTAATTGAGGAGACGTTGAAAGATATACAACGGTAAATCAACATCGAGAAACAACCTGTCGTGTCTGGTTAATTTGCTGACTGGATGCACGCACGGTGCCTCAGTTCGCATGTGAATAACCTCGTGCACCGATCTACGTCATTCCGTCATCCTGCAGATGGCGGGGAACAAGTCTTGTCGATGATTTAAATGTCCGCTCATCTTCATTTGCAGCAATTAGATTCTTGTCACCTCATACATTAGAGCTGAACTGAACATGTCCCAGTCAACCTCGTCGGTCAATGAAACCCCCAGTGCTCGAGCAGGCGGGGACTCCAGCATTCCAATCGTTGACCTAGATGCCCTAAAAGATGGCACCAACCCTGAAGCAGCACTGAATGCCGGCAAGAGTCTTGTGGATGCTTTCAGATCATTCGGGTTTGCCTGTGTGAAGAACCATGGAGTTCCCGAGGAGACTGTCAAGTCCGCCTTCCAGTGGGTTCGTCTATGGGATTGATCTCTCTCACATTCTCTGTCATTGCTGATCATTGTCCATCGCCCAGAGTGAGAAGTTCTTTTCCCTCCCACAGGCCGAGAAGGATAAGGCACCGCACCCGCCCGAAGGATGGTGGCATCGCGGCTATTCCGGCATTGGCCGGGAGAAGGTGTCGCAAATGGTGTTTGACGCCGAAGAAATCAGCGAGCTGAGAAAGATACCCGACTTCAAGGAATCATACGAGATTGGGCGCGAGGACGACGATCATCTGCCTAACATCTGGGTCCCCGAGGAGTCGCTCCCCGGATTTCGATCATTTTTCAACAATTTTTACGAGGTCTGCTACCGGCTCGAACTCCACCTACTCCGCGCCATGGCTCTCGGCATGGGCCTGGACGAGGACTTCTTCCGGGACTACCACGTGATGAAGGACAATCAGATCCGCCTCCTCCACTACCCGCCGGTCGAGGAGAAGCTCTTGCGTGCCGGCAAGGTCGAGCGGTTGGGAGCGCACTCGGACTTTGGCTCCATGACGCTCCTATTCCAGGACGAGGTCGGTGGCCTGGAGGTGGAGGACCCCAACGAGGAGGGCCGGTTCTTGCCAGTGTCATTCATCCCTGGGACGATCGTGGTCAACATTGGCGACTTCATGCAGCGGTGGAGCAACGACACGCTCCGGTCCACCGTGCATCGTGTGCGAGCGCCGCCGCTGGAGACGAACGAGAGCGGTGACCGCGTGACCCGGGCGCGGTATTCGATTCCGTACTTCATCGGCGCTGATCAGGAGAAGACTGTGGACTGCGTGCCCGGGTGCTTCGGTCCCGGCAGGCCAAAGAAGTACGAGCCGATAAACAGTCGCGAGTACATCGAGATGCGACTCAATGCGACGTATTGAATGAGCCCGGGGCTGGAGAGATACCGTATTTATCTGTGCCTAGCAAATGCCATGTCTATCTTGCTTGAAGAGGTCCAGGCCCGTCGGCCACCACTCCGTACCTGGTCTTGACCGGAGGACTCCGTACAACACGTGTCCATGCTGTCAAAGTCGCAGCAGTGAGCAGTGAGCACGCGGAGACCCAGGTCTTTGATCATTGATGATTATTATTCCTTGCAGGTTCTTGCATGCGAGATCCACTGGCAAATGCCGCGAGTCCTCACCTGGTTGGCCTACCCGCTGACTATCTCCGGCCCCTCTTCCGGTCATTTCTGGTGATGAGGGCCGAACATGGTAGCATTCTACACCTTTGGTTGGCGGCCTTGGCGCTACGCTTGACACGTTGCCATGAGCCATGGCACAGAACAAACCTGACAAAATCGTGCGGAGCTGACATGAAGCTGACAACCGGCAGATGAGAAGATGTTCTCCAAGACTCCAACAGGTTGGAGAAGCGAAGGAGAGGAGGGCCACGACCTGCCCGCCCCCCTCCTCGTCCGGGGATGTGTTGATGCGGTGAAGGGAAACTTGACTGATCAACTGAAGAATTGGAGGCGACAAGGCGTGCGCACGTCCACAACCACGCGCATTGCCCGCCCGCTGTGGGGTTTCCAAGCTCTTAAAGAAGGGGAACAGGGACCGGGGATTTTGTCGTGACTCGTGGCAGCACGTTTCCACCCTTTCCCGCTGCCGTCCAAGCAATTTGATCTCTCAGACACTCTTTCTCCCTTTCTTCCTAGGATTCGAACAACAGTAACCCGGAATCTGGGAACAGCAACGGGTGAAACCCTGCGACGACACAAGTACTGTACGGTTTCACATCGCGACCGAGCCTCCGATATCATCCATCAAATGTGTCCCGAGGGAGACGAGGACCAGACGACCGCCGCGGCCGTGGCGCAGCAGGAGACGGCGGCGAACGCAGCGGCTGGAATCTTACCAGCTGAGCACTGGGTGCAAGCGGCACGAGTCAGTTTCGACGCCATTCCCACCGTGGGGGGCGTAGTTGTCTACATACGCCCCTTCAACGGCGGCCGCGCGGGATTGTGATGTTTGACAAGTCGCTAGGACGCTGCTAACGAAGACGATGCCGACTCTGCGCTAGGCGACGACAACGCCAGTTCAACGGCGTCAATCACCTCTACGATTCTGCAGTACCGGAAGATTCATGGGAGGACGTTCCACGGCGAGGTTGGCGACGCCCAGTATTGGTAGCGATTCCCGAAGTTTGAGAGACTTGAGGATTCTGAGCGGTCTCGCTAACAGATCATGAAAGGGGGAGCAACGATGAACAGCAGAATGAAGCTTGGGACATCAAGTGAGATGGACCTCCACAGGAGGGAGGAAATGAGAGCTCGAAGCTGACGCTCAGTAGCCATCACTTACTCACCTTGTCCATGGGTGACAAGCTTCACTTGGCACCGCTGGATAAAAGCAAGGTAGGTGACGAACACCTCGGCGGTGGCTTGCTCATCGGCCTGAACTAACGAAACCCTAAATAGCTAAACAAAGCGCTGGATATTGGAACAGGAACAGGTGAGCGGCGCTTATGTCATTCTCGGCTCATGAAGTTAGGCTAACTCCAATGTAGGTATCTGGGCCATGTAAGTCTCGCATCTATGGCAAAAGTATGTGATGCAAGAGGCTGAACTCTGTATAGTGACTTTGCCGATGAGAATCCCGAATGTGAAGTCATCGGGACGGACATCTCCCCCATCCAACCTAGCTGGGTTCCTCCTAACTTGAAGTTGTAAGTACTCCAATATCACACAGTGATGATCCAACGGCCAGTGCTATGGCTGACCCCGCACAGCGAGATCGACGACTGCACGCGCGAATGGACTTTCGAACCAGAATCCTTCGACTATGTCCACATCCGTTTCCTAGTCGGCAGCATTGCGGACTGGCCCGCGCTGTTCAAGCAGGCGTACAGGGCCCTGAAGCCGGGCGGTTACCTCGAGAGTTTCGAAGTCTCGCCGGCCATTATGAGCGATGACGGGACCGTCCCGGAGACTAGCGCACTGGGTCAGTGGGGCAAGTTCTTCGAGGAGGGCGGCCGGAAGATGGGCCGGACGTTCCGGGTTCTCGACGAGAACTTGCAGAGAACGTCGATGGAGGATGCCGGCTTTGAGAGCATCACAGAGTGGAACAACAAGGTATATCAGAGTTCCGACAGACGAGTTGAGTATGAGGCACGAGGAAAGAAGACTGACTTGAGATGATAGGCCCCCATCGGTAACTGGCCAAAGGACGAGGTGAAGAAGGAAATCGGCGAGTGGGCTCAGCTGACGCTCCTCTCGGACATTGAGGGTTACGTCCTCTTCATGGCCAACGTCATGTCGACTTGGTCTCGTGAGGAAATCCACATCTATGCGGCGCAGCTGCGTCGTGAGATCCGGTCTGGCAAGCTCCATGGGTACTACCGCCAAAGAGCAGTCTGGGGACAGAAGCCCCTGAAGACGGAGGCATAGTTGCAGTATTCACTCCTACCTTGATTACTGTTGATTTACTCGAAGCTAGCGAGCCTGGATAAGCATATGCAGCATATCTCATCGAATCGGATACCTTTCTATCGCATCTGTGTGTTCTCGGCTCATTGTGAAAGGGAATACGGCATTTAGGGCTTGTCCAACTAAGCTGAACATGACCCGCAGGAGCGTCGGGCCGAGCCGACTTGAAAGGCTTATCTTATGCTCAGTAAGTCAAGATCATCTGCATCTGGAAGGTGACTTCCTTGTATAGCAGAGGATGCATGGTGCTGAGTGAGCTATTTGGGCGATGAGGAGGAACTCCGCCAGTCTCGACATGGTCTAGGCAGTTGACAATGGCTTCGATTGACCCAAGGTCTCAGCATTACCTGACAAGAATCGTTGCCAGAATGTGTACAAAGGGAGGTTATGAAGAGAAAGTTTCAGAATCGCCCTACTGTGTCATTGGATCCCAAACCATCACTCTCTCTCACTCAACCTTCCAAGCAACTAGAACTTACCTGCTCCCCCCAATTTATCGCCTTCTTCCGCTACATCGAAGCCGACAAGATGAAGTTCAACTTGCTCGCCCTTGCTACCATTCTATCACTGGCCATGGCCGCGCCGGTCAGTCTCCCAAATGGTTGTTATTTGACTTCGTAGTGCCTCAGTCTAATATGTATCTGTCGGATTGGAAGTCCAATTCGACCTCGAGGCAAGGGGCCCGCGCAGGGGCCACTTACAGACCGTACTTACGAGAACCGCGGTCTGCCTAACCTACGGTTGGAACCTCCCTTTTACACCCCTTACGCAGAAGTTAATATATATCAATTTGACCTCTTCGTCAACCCACGGTTCGAACCAACTACCCTGTGATAGGGATATCAACAGTATCCAAAAACAATAGGTACCTGACGACGCCGTCACCGATACCTTCCCAGACGAGCCCAGGAAGCGTAGTGAGGCTGACGCTGGCACCGACACCATAACTGGTCACGATTGGTAGTACGACAACACAGCTATAGATTCATTCTCGCAATCCTACCAAACTACGATATGGGTCTCGGGGAACTTACCGTGAGACTGGCGCCGCCTTTGATCAGCTTCTGACCGCTGAGAGAGAACGGGTCTACACACTGGAGATAGCTGCTATCTTCTTGAAGCTATGCATACAATACAAGCTTAGCTCTGTTACCTCACAGATTCTAGTTGCGCAAATGACACCGACTCATCAGAACTAATGGTATCTCTGTTGCCCATAGAATCACGTCAAACCTGAATCTCCCATACATTGAGGATACCGGAATCGTTCCTGGCATGATGTCCATGCAAACACCGCCCGACGACCATGTACTGCCCGTTACCAGAGAAAGCAGCCGACACCGCGAACCCCGACTCCAACGTGGCCGAGTAGACCACCCTTCCGGTCGCCAGGTCAGTGACATCAGCGCCATCATCTGACCGGTACGCAACCCATCGCAGGTCAGGTGAAATCGCTAACGGAGTACCCTCGCTTCCCTTGGCCGTCTCGAGGTTGTAACTGTTCATCGCGCCGCTCCCGTAGTCCCATATTGTCACTGTCCTGCCCCAAATTGATGCAATCACTCCCGTCGGGCTCACTGCGAGCCGGAGCGGATTCCTCCAGTCCTCCATCTCAATCTTGGCAATGTTCCGGCCAGTCTCGACATTCGTGACCCTCAGCGTCCCGTCCTTGGACGCGGTGACGAGCCTGGTGCAGTCCGCCGTCCACTCCGCTTGCGTGACCTCGTCCGTGTGGCTGCGGATGACGCTGTACCCTTGCCCCTTGGCGGCTGTGATGATCTCAACGCGGTTGCGCACTCCCTTGATTGCTAGAAGCTGACCGTCGGGGCTGAAGGAATAGGCACGAATGCCGTGCCACTGTAGGATGAACTTGCGCGCGTAGGGGCTGTTGTCGTTAACCCAGTCGACGACGTATAGGGCCGGCCTCTCGAAATGGATCATGTCATGCGACGTCAGGATCGTCTTGGGGAACCGGTTCACGTATTCATCGTGATGCTCCGTCGTTACAGCGACTAGATCCATCAGCGGTGAGAAAACCATGTGTGTCCCCTTGACTTTGATGGTGCTTCTGCGTTGTCCGGAGGCGGCGTCGAAGAGGCTGATGTCTTTAAAGAAGTTGGAGACGGCGAAGGAGGTCGGGTCCAACACGGAGGTGAAGCGGATGTCGACGGGTTCTTTTTCCATGTTCATTGTGATCTTGCCGACATGACGGAATATGACGTGGGCGGGAGCGGGCGCGAGGAGGCCAGGGTATGGATTTGGGTCTCCGTCTACGCTTGGTGCGGACATGGAGTAGGTTGAAGAGCCGGCGTGGTCGGCGGTCACGGTTAGTCTCGCCATGTCTGATGCCGAGACTGTGGTGGACTGATTGTCGATGAAGGTCCGAAGAAAGCTGAGGAACCCGGCGAGCTTGTGAAGTGATATGCTCTGGTCTGATGCGGGTTGACGGTTGAGAACTTCTTTGATGGAGTTGATCTCCTGCAGGATTGCGCTGGTAGCATATGGAGGGGACTCGCCGGCTTCCTCTGCTCTTCGAATATGTTGGACCCTGTTGCGTATTAGTATCTCATTGCTGCTTCAGGGACGTTCGAGTAAGTAAGCTTACAAGTCTAATGCATCTACAGCTAGAGTCATCGTCCTCCTTCCCGTGGTCAGATGTGAGCCCAGGGCTGTGGCGCGACTGGCTGCATTCCTCCACGCATCGTCACCGTGCCGAGAGAGTGACCATCGCGACTTTTCAGGTCCGGTGTCAGAGACAGCTTCTATAATCTGACCAACGACCCCATTGCAGAATGCCGGGACCTGCCGGGTTTCTTTCAGGAGCTGGTCCTCTCCTTCGCAACTTGCCCCATTCCGTAGAAGCGCGATGATGGTTTCGGATAGCAAAAGTACTTGTTCCAGCACAGGCGAGAGTTGGGCCTCGGCCCCGGGGTGAGCGGCGATGAAGTCACGCACAGCTGCACCGGCCGGTGACAAGGCGGATTGCAACTGTTGACATTCCGTATTGACGCTATTGGCGTTTGATGTGATCATGATGGAGTGCTAGTTGTGTGGCTTGATCAATTGTCCTGAGAGAGCATGGCGTTGAGGCTCATTCCGTGTCGGCAGTTGTCGCGCTTATGAACTAGCAAAGTGCTTAACTTGCCCCCCATCAGGCAGCCAGGTTCTGAAGCGGCTATGCTCAAGGCTGAGAATGCCAAATGATGTCAGGGGAACTTGAGTGCAGATCTGTCGTGACACAGTCAGCACTTGGGCTTCTCTTTGGTTTAGTGCTTTTCACTCACTGAGATGACTTCTTGTTAGTGAGCTTGCGCCACTGTCGTGGTCTCAGTACCAGTGGCAACTTCTCCAATAAGAACCAAAGGCCACTAACTGTGCCACATCTAGGACTGCAGCGTCTCTCCCGCTGTCGCACTCATGCAATCCTGATCCTGCCGAGGCTTTTGTGTCGTGACATCTCGTCTGTCGGTCTTGACCTGTATTCAATGGTGTCCCTTGAGTGTGCTACGGTTGGACACTGCCGACTGTTCCTAGGGACAGCAAAGTGGCGTGCGCTGCCCAGTTGTGTAGTCGTCGCCTCTCAAGCTCACGAGTTGCCATGACTGCTGCACCAGGTTGCGTTGTTCTTCTCAAAGGTTCTCGAAGACGATTGAATAATCTCTTTATTGTATTGCATTTTTGTCTCAATTGACGGGAATTTTGAGCTCTCGATAAATGTTGCCAAGTATCACTGAGACATCCGCCCCACTCAGGTCAGCCAAAAGTATAGAGTGCAGCTAGGGGCTTCTCCGCTCAACCAACTATCACTGGATGTCAACATCCACCAATCCCCGATAGTCTAGTGGTGAGGATATCTGCTTGTCATTGAACGTCAAAGATTCGCAGGGGACCGGGGTTCAATTCCCCGTCGAGGAGTTCTTTTTGCTTTCCTGGTTCATGTGAGGCCGATTTTCTTTTTTCTTCTTCTATATCTATTTTTCGAATCACTTGTTCGTCATTTACTTCAATCGGAAGCTCTGATTGAAGCAATTAGTTGCGCGATAAAGCTTCAGGGACCTAATCTCCTCGCGGCCAAAGCCAGTTGCCAGTCGCCAGTGCTGATGTAATCGGTACATAAAACCAACGGAAAACCCTTTTCCGTAATACCAAACCTCTTTTGGCCGTGATTTTACTACCGGATCCGGTTTCTCGAGAGCGCCAAAGTTATACAATATTCTTTTCTAAATCAGTGACTAAGACAGGCCGAAGAGAGTATAATTACGGCCAATAGAGCTAATTCTACCTCGAAAACTGGCATTCTAGAAAGCAATACCTGTTGCCAGTTCTGTTGCCAGAACCCTTCCCGCCGCAGAAAACACCCTAACAGCGCCCTGGTAGTGGCCCGGCAGTGGCCCGGTACTACGGCCTAATACGGCGGTATAATTGCTCTTTGGGGTCGTGGCACTTCTAGTGGCGCTGTACCCTCTGGCGACTGGCAATTGGCCTTGGCCGCGAGGAGATCAGGCCCTCAAAGACCAGAGACTTTTCGCAAAGACGATCTGCCAATCTCCGACCCCATCTCATTCACGTAACCCTATCATGCCAAAACAAGTCCTGCGCCGTTCAAAATCGTCACATAGTTGGGCTTAGGTAGCTCCGCTCTGGTTTCCTTGGCCTCTTCCTCAAGGCCTATTTCCAACGTCTTATCTCCATAGTCGAAGAACCAGGTTAAGAATCCTGTGTATTTGACTCCTTCTTGGCAATGAATCCAGTACTTTGGTGAATGCTTGCGCTCAATCTTCAGAGCATTGGCTACCCCTTTGGACTTCATTCCAACGCCAGCCTTGTTGATTGGGTGAGTCATTGCAAGGACACTTGCGCCGGGGTTCATCTCCATGGCGGCTTCTACGATGCTGGGGTCTACTCCGTGCGGGCAGTACAGAATGACTTCGTCTTTCCCATTCGCAGCTGCAATCTTGATGACGATTGCATGATACAAGTTCGGATACTTCTTGGTCTCATCCTCGAGCCGGAAGATGGACAACCAGTCGGGCATCTCGGGCGTAGCCGGCCATGCCTGATTGCGTACAAAGTCCGGGAGGACATGGACATTATCGAAGTGCTTCATTGCAGAGATCGTGGCTGCGGCATCCTCCACGGCAAAGACTTTCAGTGATGGATCAAAGGTTCGCAGGGTCATTTGATGCAGGTGATCCGAATTGGTGTGGGTGACGGTCACCGCATCGAGCCAGTATTCGTCGTCCTCTTTGGAGCCCCCGACCGCCTCCTCAATCTCACGGATCAGATCTTCGCAGGCTTCAATGGTTTCTAGTGCCGACTTTTCCTTGAGTGATAGTCGCAGGAAGTAGCTGATGAGGACATCGTTGACACTGAAGAGCCAAGGGTCTTGTAGGATGTGGTAAAAGACCTTTTTACCGGCCACCCCGGCAGGTTTAGGGATGGAGATGAGCCATGCGTTGTCGCAGTTTGCGAGGGTTATTATCGGTCGTTTTGGGGGTTGTTTTGCCGAGGCGAGTGTGGCGATGAGGCTTGCGCGGTCCATGATGGAGTTTATAAAACGGCGATGGATGGAGAACTGTAGGTGCACCTACGTGATGGAAGACATGGCCTTTATTGTTGGGGGGGATGACCATAAGTACTTTGGCGATAATGATATTCCTTGGTATGCCGTCGTTCAAGGTAATCTAAGTCCAGAAACTTACAAGGGACTTTGTGAATCCAGCCAATGTCTATTTCTAGAATCAGCCTGTCAGATTTTAGTCTGTCATGTCAGCGCTTTCATGGGATTCATGTCCAATACAGTCTCTCTGAAGGATTCATCTATTTGTTGCTGCTGTTAAATGAGATGCTTCTGATTGGCAGGTAAGATCGACAACCTCAGCGATATCACAACTTTGCGTATGCCCAGGAGTCAGGAATCACTCTTGGTGGTGCCATTTTACGAATGACACTGAAGTACTCGCAGCAGGACCAGAGCGACATTGGCAGCGACAGACTTATCTTGAGGAAAGATACCTGGGCTTTTTTTTTCAAGGTCGCCCTTATACTTGGTCGCATAATTTAGCCGTTAATGACATCTCATCATCCATCATTGAATTTTATTATTTGATGGAATCTTGTTCTAGGCATCATTTGTGGGGCAGACATGGCGCTCTCGCAGGTTCCGGTAGTTCACCTGAGTTTAAAATGTAAACACCACCTCATTCCTCCATGATTCCACGAGGCAGCATATATCATCGAGATTGATCTTTCCGTAGGCATGCCAGAAGCAACGTCTTATTAACTACCTCTGGATCCCGCTTGAAGTTCTCATGAACCCAGCGGTCCCTCGAATCCACCCCGTAGTCGGCAAAACCCCACCCTAGTCTGGTTCGACTTGCCTATGCTGTATCAAGAAGTCTAGAACTCTGGGGTACCCGTAGAAAAATGTGCCGCAGTGGATTAAAGCTTGGCAAGGTCTAGACTGTATCGTAACCCAAGAACTCGTAACATACTGAGACCAAAGCCATGGAATGTAATAAAAAATACAGAAAAGCCAACTGAGCACAAGCCAAGATGTCACCAACTCCTCAAGGTCATGGTCATGTTTTAGTGACAACTTCGTCAACTTGGCTGACTCGTCTACGCCATTGCTATTGGTTACAATGCCTCGTGACGGACTCCACTTGCCGCTTTGTCGTCGGAACCGGATGAAAGCGGAGCACATAAAACCAAGACACTCACGTCGCCATCTTCGCGAGTATGGAGTCGTTTTTTCCCTAATCTGGCCATGCCCAGTCGCGTTTCTCCTCTCATCTGCATCAGCACAAACCACTCAGATTGAGTTCAACGACCTGTATCATCTCATCCCACCGGGATCACGTACTGATATCAACTTTGTCTGGGGGGGAATTTCTATCAACATCACACGTAGCACAAAGCCTCAGCTCTCACAACTCGGCCAATGCCGGGCGCAATTCAATGGCTGCTCAAGCTCACAGACGCTCTCGCAACGGTTCGTCAACCCACCTTCGACGAGGCCGACGATTGCGTCGAGCCTCATCGCGCTTGGCTCTTCTACCGTCTCTTGGCGTAGGATCTAACTTTTCTCTGCTATTGACACAGGGTGCGGGACATGCCGAACAGCCCGTATCAAGTGCGACGAGGCGCGCCCATTCTGCAAGCAGTGCGAGCGTCGTGGTGTTGAGTGTATCGGATACCAGATACATCTGAAATGGGTTGAGATCAGCGATATCAGCCCGGATAGCCAATCTGCAAGCAAGAGCGTCATCAAGCCGCGAAGTTCTTTGACGATTTGTTCATCAAGGAAGTCGGCCACGTATAGGAAAAAAGCTATCCCCCCGACATCCGTAGCACGCAGTCTGTCAGTGGGCCCGAAGCTTCACTCTTCATCAGATGCCTTCATATTCAGACACTGGGCCGACTCTTTGCCGGACCTTGTATATCCCAACCCTGAAGAATACGCCAGCATACGGCAACCATATCTTGCCTTCGTCTGGAGGGAGAATTCTATCCTTCTGCCAGCGATTTTGGCAGCTGGATCAGCTCATCTTTACGCTCTTGGGAAGCTCAAACATGCAGAAACTCTCGAGAGAAAACAAAGAGCACTCACCGCTATGGTGGCATGCGTAAAGCAGCCCAGGGCTATCTCATATGGCCAGATGCAGACGTCATTTCCAGTATATCTAAGTGAAGAGGCAATAGCAGCATCAGCAGCACTTATTGGCATGGAGATTATGCAAGGATCGCACACACCCTCAATCATCCCTCTTCTTCGAGGCCTCAAAGCGCAGATTGAAGAAAGACACAAACTACGACAACGGGTGGAGGCAAGTTGGCAGATCGAAAGAGACACACCGATGATGGCAGTGAACGTCAAGATGATGGCTTACATTGACACCTTTTGCTGCGTACCCTGCGCGACACATCCAGTCTTTGACCAACAGTCCTGGCGAGATTTCATCATGCCAAAGTGTCAAGACTACTCTTTTGATAGTGGTCCAGACATCGTATTCGGGTACTCGATGCACATCTTGCCAATGATCGGAGCAGCAGCCTCTCTCGTTGACGACTTCTTCAAAACAACAATCACACCGGAGGACTTTGTCTCGTCTCGATGTTACGTACTAGAGAAACTTGCATCAGCCTGCCGAGATCTTCCGCCTCCCCAGCAACAACCAGATCCAGAAACCGATCCATCGGCCCCATCAACAAGTCTCAAAATCCGAGATGCGAATGCCTGCATTGCAGCAGCTTTGGCCCACAGCCTGGCAACGCAAATCTTCCTGCTCCGCGCAGACGAGGGTGACTCTAGCACCATCAGAGCCGAACGTCCGACAAAACACCCCTTGGCGTTGGTCGAGCAGCTATCCGAAGCCGTTGCCGCTGTCCCGCTCGACACGCATGCGGCGACCATGATGGTTTGGCCCGTGTTTGTCCTCGGCTGCGAGAGCATGGCGGTAAGCGCACGGCGGTATGAGGTAGAAGCTCTATTTGAGAAGATCATCGACAAGCAGAAGCTTCTCAACATCTCGGTGGCACTCAAGATGCTGCGGGGAAATATTTGGACGGGCGGTATGACAAACATTGTGAGCCCTGCGAGGAGTTTGTCTCCTGCAGAAGAGCAATGTCGATATACGCAAAATCAGTGGGTGAAGATGTGTTGGAAAGAGCGGCTGCAGCTTTGTTCAGCATAGGAAACCTGCATGTACACTACAAATTTGCAATGACCGCAGATCTCACGACTGCGCTCGAAGGATCAATACCTACATGTACTCGTACGAGATATGAGCTAGAAGGCAGCAGGCGATGATGGATTTTTGGCTAATGATGATAATGATTCTATCTAAAGTATGTTCTACACATTTTGATCGCTCGAGGTTCTAAGTACAGATATTTGGTAAAAAAGGCTATTTGACAAGAATGTGACTGGTGACTGGTTCACAGTACAGTATTCGACATAGGAAAAGGGGGGTATCTTTCCGGTTTCCGTAGTACAGAGGGGATAAAAAAAATTAAGACATCTTCTTCGCTTGCTCCTCCAAAGTTTGAATAAGTTTGCTTCTCTGCCGAATCTTTTTGCCCCATTTGTAAAAGATAAAGGGAACAGGCATGAGCACAACTTCGGCGACGCCGACCGTAATGCCCGCAATGCGCGGTGTCAGGGCGGCATACATGCTCTTGCCGACGAGAACCAAGACAGCGCCCAAGATGGATCTAAAGACGAGGTTGCCGGCCGAAGCGGAGGTTGCGTACATGCCGAACACCTTTGAAATGTAACTAGTGCCGTAAATGAAGACGAGACCGAAGCCGTAGCCAAAGGGGACGCCGGACAGGACACTCCAGTAAAAGGGAATTTCGATGGGTAGGGAAGTGAGTGCGAATGAGAGCTGGCCGACAGGCTCGAGAACTGCGCCGATGCAGATGAGGAGGACGACTGCCTCTGGCTCCTGCTGGCCAGTTTCCGGGTTCTTGGGCTGGCGGTTGACCAGCTTTCTGAGAAGCGGCTCCGTGGCCAAGACGAGCGCGATACCGACAAAGACGCCGAGGAAGGCGAGACCGGAAATGGCGACGCTCCAGCCGCGCTCGGTGGTGTAGACAATAGGGAATGCGACGTAGGCCAACTGGACGATGGCGTAAATGACGGAGATGTAAATGTTCCAGAACATGAGGACAGGCTCAGTGAACGATAGGATAAAGGGACGGGACACGGCCGTCCTAATTCTGCGGAAGATGGGGACGGTGTCGTCAAAGTCGGACCAGTATCTGTGGTCTTCCTCTTCTTGTCGCTTTGCAGCGGCTTTCTTTCTGAGAAGCGTTGGCCGGTAAGTCTCTGGGACGGTCATGATGAACAAAGCTCCGACGGCTGTTGAAATCAATGACATCCAGTTGAGTGATCTCCAGCCGAAGGCTTCGACGAGGAATCCACCCTGTCATCGTTGTTAGTGACTGACCTGAAGAATGCGGATGAATGAAGCTTACCATGAGAGGCCCGAGGACGGGACCATTGAGAGGTCCAAATGAGTACACTGACATCGCCAGCGGCAGGTATTTGGGGTTCGTAATGTCCATGATCGAGCCACCAACGTTGGAAAGCATGACACTTCCGGCGACAGCACTAAAGTCCATGTGAGCAACTGATCTTATAAGTGAAGGAACAACAAGAAAGTGACTTACCCTAGGAAACGCGCCACGATGACCATGGTGAAGTTGGTCGCCAGTGCAGCGAGGGGGATCAGTCCCAAGAATACTGTAAGGCCACCAATGTACATTGGTCTTCGGCCAAACGTCTCACTCAAAGGTGCCATGATGAGGGCACCCAGAGCGAGGCCGACGAGGTAAAGAGAGATACCGAGGAGAGGCAGTGAAGGGTTGGTGACGTTAAGCTCTTGGCTCATCTGTGTGATACCACTAGAGTAGGCGGTCGAGTAGATACCCGTAGCCAGTGTCGTCAGGGCAAACATGGCGACGACGAGCACACGGTAAGCCGTTGACCAGTTCTTTGGGTCGTCCGGGTCTCCATCCCAAAAGTCGACGCGGAAGGCCTTGAGGGCTGTTGGCGGGCCCTCGTCACCCTCATCTTCAGGCTTCTCATCATACTTCTTAAAGTCCTCGACATCAAAGTCAAAGTCTGGTACGTAAAAGGACCATCGTGGAGGCAGGGCTGTCTTCTCGTTGAAGACACCCTCGATGTACTCGTTGGCGACGGGGTAGTATGATAACCTGCTTAGCCGCGGTAGGCGGGAGAAGCGGTCTGATGGTGGTGGTTCAAGTCCAAGAGGTTGGAAGCGTTGGCTTCTTCGCATCCATGAGCTCCTGGCATTGATAAAGGAGTGCCGACCAGGAGGCGGCGGTGGTCTCGGTGGGAGAGGAGCGAATCTGGTCTGCTTCTGTCCACCTGGAGGGTAGAACTGTAGCCTGGCGGGGTCAGGTACTTGCAGAGAGTCCGACATGGTGATGGATCATTACTGCTAGCTTCCAGAATGGTAGCGGTGAGTGAAGGAGAGGGAATTGAGGTTTTCCTGTCAATGATGGGCCTCATTGAGTGATAACTGCAAGAGGCAGGGAAAGTAGCCCGCCGAGGACGGGGACCGACCCTATCAGGACCATGAAGTCCAAGGGGCGAGAACCACATCATTCTCGCTTGCTGTGCAACGCATGTCTTGGATAATTGACGGGCAGCGTCTAAGAAGCAACGCAGGTATACATCCCACGCCCCCCCCCTCCCCACATGGCATACGTCGTTGTAGCCGCCAGCTCGGGGTGGCTGATGATGAACACAGCTCATCATCCTGCTTGGGGACCCCAGGACTGGTGATCGACTGGGATCTCCTTGGGCGCGGATCGGCGGCACCGCAGCGATAACCCAGGAATTATTAATTTCTCTGAGGACTCCTGAATCAACCAGACGTGACGGGGGGGTGGTGCCCACAACGGACGACCGCAGCAGGCAAGCCGCAAAGATGATGTGCCAAAAGGAAAGACTTTCGGGTGGCCCAAGGCCCCTATCCCGGCAACTACGCGTCAAACCCCACGTGCCGTTACGGGCTGGCGTTATATCAAACTGTTTTAAGGACTTTGCACCCGAATATGCGAGGGTGGAGTACGTACCCTCCGTTGGATCGAGTCAATGCGACGCTGGTGAGGTTCCTAGTGGGATAAGACTAGGAAGCCCCTGTCGGTCGATTGGTCCGTACTCAAGGAATATTCCCTGGCTATGCACGGGCGATCATCCTGCAGGGGCTCAAGTAGAGACGACAGGGTTAACGTCTGTCGTCTGCCAATGATAGGAGGAACAGCGTCTGGACGACAGGATCTGAGGGAACCAAGGTGCGGCGTCTAGAACTTGCTGTGTGAAAGAGATTGCAGGTACCAGCTCCAGTCAAGGCGGACAAGCGGGGTTCTGCTTCTCTCTCTCTCACTCACTTGCTGTTCTGGGTTCTGGGCAGCAAAGCCAAAACAAACTCATGGAGATTTGACTTGTGACAGTGGGTGTGGGTTGTGTCAGTCCCAGATCTCTGGCAAGAGAAGCAAGCACGGCACTCATTCATCCACCCGCTCACCTTGTGTGGCACATATGCTCCGCAGAAGAAACTCTGGGTTTGGGATTTTTCTTTGCTGAGACTTGAGGGGATTGTGGAATATGTACTACCCAGCCTCATGTCGGCATCGCGGCACGGCAAAGAATGCCTTGCGAGGTAGCACTAGGCCGGTGGATGAAGTATCAGGATATGTGCAACAACACATTCGTGCGCTGAAGTGATGTGTTTGCAAACAAGGAGGCCCAAAGTCGAGACTCTTCAAACATCGATCAATCGATCTTCACTTCCTTAGGAAGAATCGATGATCTTGCCATCACCCTGCATTAGTGTGGCGACAAATGTAACATGCCCTACGTAGCAACACTGAGGGATTCAATAACTGGATTCGATGTTTATGCCAAGCTTGAATAATTTCCCAGAAACAGATTGACATTAAATGAAGTCATCTTGAGTGGACTTAGTTCTACCATAAACTCTCAATCGAAATGAGATGGCGAAATGGAATACCTGCAGTCTACAATTCTGGCTTGGAGTATGGCCATATCACTTTGCAAAGAGGTGTTTGTCTGAACTTGAAGATAATACGAGATATAATCATCGAATTGTGGTATCGAACATAAGAAATGAAGTCTATGGAGTCCCAGAAAACCGCTAGTTTTGCCTAATAATCCCTAACCCGAACAAGATATGTACAATGAAGATTGGACGCCCTGTGAGCAATTTGAACTCTGTCCGTTAACATCTGTAAAGCCCTTCCTAATACCCAACAACGCCCTGCCTCAAAACACTAAAAAAGCATTTCTCAATACAAAAATCGACAACCAAGTAGATGTCTATTTTGTCTTGAAAGCCTGGCCAATGGCGCCACCGGGGTGGTTCTTTGCAAAGACTGATGATACTGAAGAGTACATCTCCTTTGAAGCAACGTACGCCAAGGCATCGCCCATGGCAATGGCCATGGTCGTAGAAGTAGTAGGCGCAGAGACGCCAAAGGTCTCCTTCTCAGACTCGGGGATGGGAGCAGGGAGGAGGATGAGATCCGGGCGAGCCTTTGCGATCTCGCATGTCTCCATGCTGGTGGGCGAGGTGAGGAGGATGAGAGGGCACTTCTTGTTGAGGTGAGGCAGAAGCAGCATAAGCTCGGGGGTCTTGCCGGAGAAGGTAATCATGATGAGGGTGTCGTACTCGCCCACCACACCGAGGTCACCGTGGAGGGCCTCGGTAGGGTGAAGGAAGACGGCGGGGAGACCCAAGCTGCTGAAGGTGGCAGTGAGCTTCTTCGCGATCCAGCCAGACTTGCCGACACCGATGAAGACGACCTTGCCGCGGTGATCACGGTGGCGGACGAGAGCATCCACGGAGCGGTAGAAGCCGTCGCGGCAGACGCGCTCGGAAGAGTAGAGCTGGGTAAGCGCCATGAGGGCGTTTGCCTCTGTGCGAAGGACGTGGATGGCACCGTCGAGTCTGTCTTCATATGATGAGGAGGCCCTGCGGTCCTCGTGGGTGACGTCGCGGAGAGGAGATCTGGGCATGGGTGACTTGGGGCCGCGGATCTCATATGATTTTGCGAGGTTGACGTTGAGCTCTACGGGGCCGCGGCTGCGCATGCCCATAGCAGATCCAGAGCGAGGAGGAACCATTTTGAATTGTCTGGTGAAAAAGGGAGAAAAGGTTGAAGAAGCGGATGAGACTTGGTGTTTCTGTTGCTTGGGAGAAAGGAAGCAGTAAAATGGAGCCCGGCTCTGATTTGTTTTAATCAACTCTGTTGATGTTTGATGAGAAGAAGAAGGGTGGTTGGAAAGTGAAGCTGAAGA